TTTTAGTAGAAAGTTCTTCTAACTTTCTTCTCTTTTAGTAGAAAGTTCTTCTAACTTTCTTCTCTTTTAGTAGAAAGTTCTTCTAACTTTCTTCTCTTTTAGTAGAAAGTTCTTCTAACTTTCTTCTCTTTTAGTAGAAAGTTCTTCTAACTTTCTTCTCTTTTAGTAGAAAGTTCTTCTAACTTTCTTCTCTTTTAGTAGAAAGTTCTTCTAACTTTCTTCTCTTTTAGTAGAAAGTTCTTCTAACTTTCTTCTCTTTTAGTAGAAAGTTCTTCTAACTTTCTTCTCTTTTAGTAGAAAGTTCTTCTAACTTTCTTCTCTTTTAGTAGAAAGTTCTTCTAACTTTCTTCTCTTTTAGTAGAAAGTTCTTCTAACTTTCTTTTTTGCCCCTTTGCTTTTTTACTTCGTCATAGATTATTTGAGTGCAATCTTGGAATGAGAGGTACCGTGCGGCGTTTAGAATAAGTTAAGCGTATGCGTGGGATCCTATGCAATTAGTATTAAGTTAATGTATGTGCGTGTGTGCGTGTGATACAAGCTCTTTACTGGATTGTGGTAAAGAACTTGTATGTGCGAGCCTATGGGCTAAGTAGAGTTAGAACTCATTTATCCTTCTGATAAATGAGGTTGCATTCGGAGGGAGGAAGGGATTTGGAGTTAGGGTGGGTCACTATCGTAGCCACCTCCACGTGGTGTGACCTGGTAATCGATGTTGTTTTCTATAGATTTATCGAAAGATAGTCTTTAGAAAATAATATCGAGCTAAGAGCTACAATTCATAGTTTCATTTATTGTCCAAAATTTTCTGTCAGTGCATTATTCTTTTACATGCAGTCATCAACGCTCGCTATATGCACTATTCGGCTTTCAAAGTGTTGTGCATTACACGCGCACGGTTTAAGCAAGCGCATATTGTAAGTCCTCAATTCGCCGTTTCAAGTCTAGAGGGCATAACAAAACCACTGATTCTCTGCACGATCGGTAGTTTGGTAAGTAAATATTTTTTAGAATTTTGATACACCTCTAATAGCATAGCTCGCCACTAAAACAGTACTTTTTTCAGGAAGAATCGCCACCTCTTCTTCAGGAAACCAAATTTGCAATTAACAGTCATTTGCTGTACCTCCTTTTCTGCTTCTAAAATTCTACAGCATCACAGTGGTACTTTACTATATTTTGTTTTTTTTTTTTTAATGTTATGTAGATTTTAATATAATTATTTTTGATTTTACAGATAAATAATAATCTTACATTTGTATTTTTTAATATACAGAGTTTATTCCTATTGTATGTTACAAAAAGTATGTTTTACAAGTATTATTTAATATCACTGGCTTAATGCACGAAAACTATATGTCCACTTTTGATATTGTCAGGATAAATAGGTTTGAAGGTTCAATGATGCATTGATGTATGGTAATAAAACCAATATACTTGAAATTGTTTTTTAAATATTTTATCAATAGTACTTATGATCCATTAGCAAAAAATATACTTTTTGCATATGGTGATAACCATGTAATAATAGTAAAAACTAGTTAACAATTTAACAGTGTTCAGATTTATCAAACATATTTGATAAATTGTAACATTTACGAATGTTAAAAATTAAAGTAACAATCGATATAAAGCTAGTAGTTTTTGATATGAGATACAAATTTGTTTAAACTGCATAAGTTAAGCAGTAGTTTATATATTGTTTATATTTATATTAAATATATATTTTCATCTCAAAATAAAAGATTAAAAAAGTATTTGATCGATATATAAATACATACTTTCAAAAAACCAAGAATGTACAATTTGTAACATAAATATTCTGCAACAAATATAAATAAAGCTTTAATATATACGAAATTTGCAATAAATAAATATTCTTTTTAGAACGCCAGCATTCTTTTGATAAAATAATTTGTTCAACTACTATTCTTCTAACAAGGAATTGGTATGTCTATTGCTTCTGGATTTAAAAAGATTACAATTCCGATATCTCTCCGTTTTAGAATATTTTTTCAATTATCTTTTCATCTCAAATACTACTTTTCGTTTTATTTAATGATTGTTTGTAGAAGTTTGTGGAAGATTATTATTGCTTTGAGTACAAATTTGTAATACTTCTTCTTCAAATGCAGGATCCAATAATACGTCGATACCTTTCATTCCCGTTTTTGTATATTTTTGAAATATACTTTTAGATTCTTCCCATAAAATTCGATTTTCATTCAACACATTAACAAGTGGTTTTATCACCGGGAATAACGTAGAAAGGTTACTAAGAAATAAAATAACAAAGAAAATACAATAAAAGAGTAAAAATAATAGCTTTAAAAACTATTCATGAAAAGTTAAATGCCTCATATATCATTATATGTTTAGAAACTTTATGCATATGAATGTTAAAAATATATTTAAAAAAAATAATAAAATAAAGAAATAACAATACTTACATAAAAAGTGGTAGGACTATATTTGCAATAAACTGAACTTGGAGATCTGGTATAGATGCTCGTTCCCTGTCCATCATTTCTATAGGAGAACTACCCATACTTTTTTCTAAATCTCCTTGTGAAAAGAATTCATCATAAATTTTTTCCTAAGAATACAACATAATATTCAAATTTTCAATATTTCTTTTCATGAATTTATTACATTTTATACTCTTACTTACAGCAGTCTTTTTAGAAACCTTCCAATGTTTAGTTTGATCACTGAGATCACAACATGTCATAAGCATACCAAAAAAAAGTTTCAATTGTTTAGGATCATTTTTATCAAAATTTTTTGTAACCATTTCTTCCTGCTTCTCTACAGTGCGAAAATGAGCTGCCAAATCAGTTGCAAGTATGTTATTTCTTAGTAAATCTAATGCTTCGCTATATTCATCACTATTAAAATTTTCAAATATATTACAGTTTTCTGTGTTTAAGATACACATGGTCTGTGCTAAGTGATGTCTCTGTAATATAATAGTGACAATGAAATATGACATACTAGCATATGTTAGTTTAAAACACTTATATATAGTTCACCTCCATCACAGAACCTTCGGAACTATAAAGACAAGCTAGAACTGTACTGCATTTAGTTTGAAATGAATTATTTGTTCCTCTATGATCAATATCATGACATAAACATGATACTAAAAAAACCAAAGCTTGTAAGTGTGTCATATAATTTTTAGTAATAAGTTCCAAATTTTTTATTAACAGATATGCAAAGTGTGCCACTGAAAAGGCATGTACCCAGTTATGATAAGGTGCATCTCTATATCCTTTTTTAACATATAGTATAAACCTACAATAATGAATACGAATTTATCACTTACTTTGAATATTAAACTAAAAATAATATAATTTGATTACCTAGCTAAAGTCGATAATTTCATTTTCCAATGTTTGATAAGACCCAAATCATTAAACATTTTGATCGTATAACAAGGCATATGTTTATATGGAACACTTCTAGGAGTAAACTGAAATTTATCAAAGTCTTTTATATTATGTTCATCCTTGCAGTTTAACAATGCCTGAACAGCATCTTCTTCAACCTATACATGTATTAATAGAAGTGTATAATAGTATAACAATACTTGTACCAGGTATTCTAATGTCCCATGAATTTTTACCTTCATGTGATACATCATCACTTCGTTACTGAGTTTGTTTCTTGCTTGAGCATCTTGCATCTTTTTATAAACAATACTATGCATTATAGAAATTCCACAATAGATGCTAAATGCTGTAGCAACTTCTTCATCAAAAACATCAAAATATAATCCATCTTTCTTATTACAGAGTTGCGCAACACCTACAGTACAAAATCAAAACAAGGATGTAATACAAAAAATATTTAAAAAATTTTAAGCACATGTTTACTTACCAACAATTCCATTTTCATCTCTAATTGGAAAGCATAAGATATTTCTAGTTCTAAAACCTGTTACTTCGTCTATTCCACTATAAAAAAGAGGATGCTCATATGCATTTCTAATATTAAGTAATTTTCCAGTAGTTGCAACATGACCTGCTATACCTTGTCCTATAGGTATTCTCATTTCTTTCACAGACTAGAAATAATTGGATCTTTAACTTTCTTCATGAAGTATAATACTTCATATTTGAAACATAAACTCACTTCTTTCATAGCAATACCATCAAATACTTTAGCAACTAAATCTTGCTGATCAGGATCCAATAGAAATAATGAACATCTTTCTGCATTTGTTAAGTTTCTAACTTCAGCCATTATTTCTCGCAAGAGATCAGAAAAATCTCCTATTTATTATCATTGAAAATATAATGAATATATAAACTTTCAAGATTAATTACATTATTAAGCTTAAAAATAATATTACCCAAATGTGTAAAAAGTTTTCTAGAAACAGCAAGTAAATTTTGGCATTGGTGTTTTAAGCGAGTTTCTTCATGACATGTAAGTGAATTTAAAAGAAATCCTAAGCAAAATCTATAAAGAAAAATTTTTTATTTTTTTGAAAGAGAAATATTTTGAAGGTATCATTATACAGTTAATAGAAGTTATATATTTTTCTACCTAAAACATTCTTGAACAGCTTCTGTACATTTACAAGTAATTTCCTTTTGATTGTTCTCATCAATTAGAGAAACTACTAAGGCTACATGGTTCTGCTTAGGATGTTGTATGGGAATTGTCAGAAGTGAATTTGTCATTGGACATATTGGTTGGAGGTAACGTAATACTTCTTCATCAAGCATTGTAATATCTGCAGTAGTTGGCTTTTTAGTTAGCACTGCTTTGTATAAAATATTATTTGATACCTATAAAAAATTGTTTACAGTTATATACATATTGAAACAAAACTGTGAAAGTAATATAAAATAATTCCTTAATTAACTATTAATTAAATATAAATATTTATACATTTCAATAGATTTTTCTTCAATTAAAAATCCAAATAATAATACTGTTTATATAACTCCTGTTATAGTTTATAATTAATTTAGAGTATTATCTTATCTGAAGATGAAGAATTTTAAGCTGATTTGATTGTTCAATAAAAGTTGGAATAAGAATTATAAATATATAGGTATAACAACCTTGATTAGGAAAGTGTGAATAATGATAAAATATATCACTGTAGATATATGTGTGTGCAAACATATATAGATAGTACTTTTTATACAGATTACTTGAAAAGTTTTGCAGTGTTATATCAATAATACCTCTATCTGTGTATGGCTTCATTTATGTAGGTTTCTAAGTATTCTGTTTGAGGATTACAATGCTAAGCAAACTATTTGTATCATGAATCAATCCTTGAAACTATTTTCTTTGCTATATCTCAAAAAAAGAATATTCTTTCAAGGTATACATTTTATACTAAAGATGTTAAACACAATAAAATTATTTAATAAAATAATTATGAAGACAATGATAGTATGATTAGTATGTACACTTTTTATGTACAATTTTTATCTTTTTCTGCAATAATGGTATCACTATTAATATTAAGAAATTAAATGAAAGAATAATAGTATAATAATTACTTACAGGAAATCTTATTTCCCTGTCTAAAATTTTGTCTCCTATCACATGAATAACCATTTCTTCTGACTTTATCAAGATGGGTACAAGAAAAGATACTTTTGTATTAGTTACACTTTGTATCTACAACATTAAAAAGAAATAAGATTAAAATTAAACTTAATTGTAATAACATATAGTATTTCTTGCAATTATTATACTTAACAAAATTTATTAGACTTATATAACAAAAATGTACAACAATTATTTCCATATACAATATATTTTGATTTTAATAGTTTTCGAATAATATTAACTATGATAAATAATTCTTTTCATAAACTTGATCGCTTTAACAAGTTGCAGCGTCTTTAAAAATAAGCATGCGTACCGCGAAAAATTGTGTACACAAAACGACGACAGTATTACTCACGTATTTGTTTAACTTTTGTTGCACTTCAGGATAAGAAAGATCACACAATTCTTCTAGAAGTAAAAGAATTTTCTCTGCATTCGGCATATTTAAATTGATCGTGTTCATTTCTTTTGTATTATTTTAGATTTTCTCTTCAAGTAAAATTATCAAAAACCGTTGTATCACGAGACATTGATAGAGTTTATTTCCAATTTCATGTTTTTCAGTTTATTGTAAAACATTTATATTCAAAACCTGCTTGCAAAAAGATAATTTATGTCAATCATTTTTAAATTTAAATTGACTGTCAAAAGCACAGGACAAGAACACAATGTGAAGAGTTACTGCAACTCTCTGCAGAGCTCTGCATTCTATACATTATACGTTAGTTCCTCAATCATGAATAAACAAGTGACGTGCGCAACTTTGACTTACTGTGTTTACACATTATGAATACTATTTAAAAATTCCTCCATTTATTATTTGTTTAAAACGCCATTTTGAAAAAGTAATATATTTGCAATTCAATATAATTGTCATTGTTCTTTATAAAGTATTTTACTCGTATTTAACTAATGTGCTTTTTACTTAATATTTGAGTATATATAAAACGATATTTAATATTTTATATTTATAGTTTAGAATATACTATAATGTTTTCGTTAATTGCTGTTTTAAGATGTTAACAATTCTATTAGTTCTTTTTATTTATTTTATTCAAATGCAATTATATTCTGTTCAATAAGAGATCGTATGTATCGTTCGACGAGTTTTTGTTCCTTCTACACATGTCAGTTCTCATTGGTTAGGGTACGTTTTATAACCAAGAGTAACACGCATGTGCCATTATGACTTTTCTGGCGCCAAACTTATATATTCAGTGATACAAAGTTTCAAATTTGCAAATTTTTTAATTTCTAAATCTTTGTCTTTTCAAATTCTCAAAGGGTTAAATCTTTTATTTCTCAGATTCTACATTTTCCAACTTTGTAAACTTTTAAGTTAGATCATACCTAGTCAACTGCCTCTTTATTATTTCTATACTACATTTTATTCACCATGTATATGACCGATGAAGTAAAAAACATATGACGATCAGAGAGCAATAAATAGCGGGAAACTTACTGAAGTTACCTACGTTGCGCGAAATAGACCTGATCTTTCGTTGAACGAATAAGTAAACAAAGATTATATGTTGTAATGTTGGTAACACTTTTGAATAATGTTTATACTTAACGCGAATGTGTTTTTATTCGATAAAGTGTATAGTAATTGTTAACATTGTGTATATAAATAATGAGTAGACATGTATAATTATAATAAAGGAACAATAGTTCCAGAAAGGCAAATTTTTGTAATAGATTTATTGACTTGACTAAGTCAAGTTTATATAAAATGCTGTTTAATATTTTGGTTATATTATATATATTAAATATAATATATTAGAACATTTTTATTAAATGAATTGTATATTGAAATGATATTTTAAACTAATATAGTACAAAGATACTTGCACTTTAAATAAAGAGTCACTTAAATTTCATGTCCATTTTGTGAAAAATAAATTTTATAAAGATGAGTATGGAAGATGAGTATAATGTAGCAGCCAGATATAGAACTGTTCGCAAGCATTTAGATAATTTGGGATACAAGCAAGCGCTTACTTTGGATGCACTTCCTTTGATAGAAAAATTGCTTGCTGATTTAATACAAACAACAGAAAGTTTGAAGCATTTTAAAAGCATTGCACAAGAAAATATTGAGGTTTGTATAGTTTAGTTATTATTAAATTTAAATGCATCACCTAGTATTATTTGTAAAGCATTTATAAGTAGTTTAATTGGTATACTTAAGTTGTATACATATGTATTTTTAGAACACCCTTCATATAAAACAATGAATATACTGCTTACTATAACTACATTATAGTTGTTTTAATGAAGTTTAATGAAATATCAAAATTAGATTATATTGTATTTTTATGTAATTAAATGATTTTACTATATACATAGGCACATACACAATTACAATCCATAATTGATCCATATAAATGTGATAATGTGAGATTAGTACAAGAATGTAACCAGCTTCATTTAGATTTGATAAAAGAAAAAGAAGGTCATCAGAAACAAATTAAGGATCTTAAAAAGGAAATATATAAATTGGAGCGTGAATGTAATGATCTCCAGTTAGCATCATCTCGTAATTTACATAGAATTAAGGAATTGGAGATTGAATCTTCTAAAAAGTCTAAAAGAATTTTAGAACTTCAAGGGAAATGTTTAAAGCCAACTATTAGTAATGTTGGATTAGGTAAATAGTTTATATTTTTTGATATTTTATTATTATTATTAAAAACGAAATTTGACATTCCATTTTATTATTGTAGCTTCTAAGAAACGTCCAGTTTTTCCACTTCGAAGACCAGTCATAGAAGGTGAACCATTACCAAGAACAGGAACTAAAAGCAAAAATCCATTGCCGAATTTAAGCACAGTAGAACCGAAGGTTGTTGATTTGTTAAACATGGCAGATCATAAAATGAATTGTTTGAGTCATGAGGTAACAAAATTAAAGGGAGAACTCTCTTTGCAAATTGAAAATGTACATATGCTAAAAAATCAGGTATATTACTGTCAATTAAATACATCTGCATGAGTTTTGGATCATTTTATTTCCAATTTAAAAATGTTGAGCATTATATTGCATGAATTTGCTATATTTACTATTAATTACAAGTAATAGCATGTGGTAATATATACATTGGAATTAAATATATGTGTAGCACATTAAAACAATATAATTTCAAATATATCACAAGAACTTATTTGCAGTTAACTATAAAGGAAAAAGAAATTATACGATTGAAAAAAATGTTAGATGGAGGCAGACCATATTCTGCTATATTTAAAGATTGTGCTTGTAAGAAGACAGATAATGATAACATGGAAATTAATGAATTAAAGATTCTTCAACAAGAAAAGCTAGAATTAGAACAGCAGTTAAAAGGTAAAGAGAAATTAAGTTTCTAATAATGTAAACTGTATGTATAAATAATATTATTTATAGAGGCCTTAAATAAGCAACATGATGCTATGTCTCAAGCACTTAAACTTGCTGATAGGAATGAAGAATTGGAAAAAGAATTGAGAGACATAGACCATATAGCATTAGCTGTAGAGGCTGATTGTAATTCTGCAGTTAAAGAAAATAATAAAAGAGTTTCTAAGCTACAGGTAATAAATTTGTAAAATAGTTTTATTCAAATTTAACTTGGTTTTTTCATGGGTTTTCGTATTATGTACGTTTACTTAGCAAAAGTTAGAAGAAGTAATGATGCAAGTACACATATTAGAGGGTGAATTAATTGCTGAGCGTAGAGAAGTACAAGAATTGAAAGCAAATCTTGAAGCTTGTAAAATGGAAAAGAATAATATTCAACGCACTTTGGAATCAACATTAAATGAGAAAAAACAGACGACGGATAGGATAAATGAATTAATAATAATTGGTACATAAAATTTTTATCTTTATTTAGTTGGTAAATATAATTTAACTTGAAGTATTATAATCTACAAATATTTTTGAAAATTTGGAACAGAAAGAAACTTAAATGATGAAATAGAAAGATTAGCTAGAGAAAACGAGAAGCAAAGACAAGATATTATTCAGTTACAATATAGCAATAAACAGTTAAAAGATCAAATGAACATGAAGGAAATTTTACAAGGAAAAAGAAATGACGATAATAGAGGTAAGATTATGAAATGAGAAAATAAAGTAAGATTAGAGTATTTAGACATTTGTAGATTTGTTGCCATTATCAGGACAAAATGGAATAGAAATCCAAGAACCTCATAAAGAGAGAGAAGTTCAAAATGAGAATGGAATTCGGTACAATAATGTATGTATTTTATATGTTATATTACAATCGTGATCATATTAATAGATTATTTGAACTATGTTTTAGTTACAGCAAACCGTTGAACAATTAAAACGAGAGAGAGATTTCTACAGAGATGAATATAATAAAATTAAGGATTACAATAGTAAAACAATGGATAAAGACCATGTAAGATTTTATTTTCAATTACTATTTACACCTATTTTTAATTTACTGTTATTTCTACTTCTGAAAACAGGCTGATTTGTGGACACGGATTCGAGAATTAAAACTACAGTTAACTGAAAAGGAAAGTGTAGTAGATGAATTACAACGAGAAAAGCAAGAATTGTACCGCGAAAAATTTAATTTAGAAACGCGTTTACAGAGTTATAAGGCTGAACATAAATCATCTTGTCGGCCGTGTAATGTATGTAAACGTAGTACTTCGTGTAATTGTGCTCTTTCGGCTGTGAAAGATATTAGCAAAGCAAAGGTAATGAGATACTTTTAACAGCTTGATTGAATTGACAAACATGAAATTTTTTAGAGCATCATTGAAAGATTGGAACATGAACGAAATATTGCAAGAGCAGATGTTGAACGTTTAATAGAGGAACGTGATGCATTACGTGAAAGATTGAAGGTAACCAAATAATTTAATAAAAAAATTGTATTGTTTTATGCAATGAATACACGTGGTAGTTAATTATTTAGATGGCAACAGAAGCACACACGTCTGAACAACATCGTTTGAGGGAAAATTTAACTGATGTTGAAGCTCGGTTGAAACAGATAGAAAAGGAACGACAAGAGCTTTTACTTACACAAGGAGCACGAAGAGCAACCATAAATGGTCTGGAAGATCAACTGCAAGATCTGCGAGAAGAGTTAAAACGAACTAAACAGGAACTAGGAACTCAACGGACGCAATATTTTCAACTCCGGTATATGTTATTTCGTATACGAGGATAGTAAAATAGTGAAATAGTGAAATGCTGAAATATGATCCATAAATATTACAGAGCCCTCCAAGATCAAACAGATCAGGCGCTGGGCGACGCGCAGAATCAATTAACGCAATCGGAGTCTGAATTAAATAAGGCGTTGGACCGCAATAGAGCGATAGAACGACAGCAGTTGCAGTTGGAAAATCAAGTGAAAGAATTACAACAAGAAGTTAATAATTTCAAATCAAAGATGGCACATTTGGACCATGAGAAAGATCAATTATTGGTGAGTTATGGCAATTATTGTAATGAGAAGATAATAAAACACATGTAGGATAATGTAAATAATTTTTGTTAGATGGAATTGGACGAGAAGACAGAGAGAATAGCTGCTTTAGAGAAAGAAATAATGATCAAAGATCAACAAGTAATGGGGAACGAGCAACAGATTCGTGAATTACAGCAGAAAAATGAGTGAGTACTCTTACAGTTTACAAAGTTTAATTATTACCATATGCAAAAATATATTTATTATACTTCAAAAGAATTTCGATAAATTATATGCATATATTTACAAGATATTTTCAGTAACAATTATGATCAAATACCAAATTTAATTATTAAAAATATTTAAAATAGTATAATAAATTGTCATTGGATTTAGAACGTAATGGAAAGAACAATGAAAAATTTCATAGCCTTAAGTCATTAAATAAATAAAAATTCTTACAAACTTTAGATAAAAATTTTACAACTACTTTACGCGGGATATTTGTACAATGCTATTTACATATATTGTTTAACAATATACACACAACTTTTGCATGCAGATTTTGCATTCATTCTATCACTGTTGTGTACTTAAAAGTTTATTGATTTCACATTTTCGTTGAGAAACTTTGCTAAGCTCACAGTGGGTGGTTGACAACTACCCGATGAGAGGAGATTGTTGTTCTCTAGTTCAGAAATTTCGGAATTCTCTGTGATTCTTTTGTATCCAGGTCTGCACTCGCATCTAGCTTTGGGTTCAGATTCTTTGCTCTGCCATAAGGTCGGTTTTGGCATTCTTTGTGCAACCAGCCATTCTCCTGCGGTACACGGACCTTGAGTGTACAACTTGTAACAAGTTTTATTTATTTCCACCATCCCTGGTGTGGATTCACAGCTATCGTTACTTTCTTCAGAACATTTGTCAGAGTTCTTCAGTATGTTGGTGCATCCACATATGCCATTATAACTAATTCCATCAATAGATGGTCGTACATTGTAATCATATAACACGATCTGTCCATTGGGACATGGTCCCTTGGTTCCTATCTTATAACACGTTTTTTCTTGTGGAAAGTACAATCTTCCACGTTTGCAGGGTACAGGGGCGCAAGTCGTTGAGTTCATCAACATGTGACCAGATTGACAAGGCCCTCTTGTATAAAGTCTATAACAAAATCCATCTTCATAGAGGACATGACCTGGTTTGCACACACATTTAGCTCGAATTATGTCTTCGTTGGACGCTGCACTTGTTACGACAAAGTAATGTCCTTGAGTACATGGACCAATGCCACCTACAAAGAAAATCAATTATTATTAATATCAAGTATTAGTGTCACAAAATTGTATGATTATCGTAGTAATTTATCTCACCTAATTGATAGCACAGTCTAGTCGGCTCATGATAATGAGGTAATCCAGAGTGGCAACCACATGTTCCACCTGGCAAGAATAATTCTCCGGGTTCTGTACACGGGCCTTTCGTATAGTGTTCGTGACACCCACCTACGCTTCCTGGCCAGTGGTACCTTCCTAGTTCACCCGTTATAGAGCAGGAACATATAGTCAACCCATCTTCATCCGTTGTGAGAAGTTCTCCTTTTGGGCATGGCCCTTTACTAAATTTAGGATAACACTTGCCATCTCTAGGCCAATAGACTTCTCCTTTTTCTGTGCATGGCTCTGGATCTCGACAGACACCCCACCTTTGTTCAAGAATAAAATACCTTAAGTATTTATTGATGCACTGTGTACAGTGATAGTTTTGTACAATATTTTATAAGATATAGTTGACGAGGTAGAGAAATCAGACAGGTACATTAATAATTTATTAAATACGATAGTTTTATACTACCTGGACTTTCCAGAGGTCTCTGGTACAGGTTCAAAGAATTGTCCTTTTGGACAAGACGCTCTAGTGTATATTGGATGGCATAGAGCATCTCTAGGGGATTGTGCAGTTCCTGGAGGACACCTGCACTCTGCCACAATACCACCTCCACCTGCTGCAGGACCCAGCTCCATCGTCTCTGGACAAGGCGCTCCAATCTGTTGAACAAGCATGTTTCAGAATTTGATGGCTACGAGTGGAATAAAGAAAAAAGGACCACAGAAAGCTGCTTCTAATGTACTCTTTAAAGAGAAATGCAGCACCTGCCTGGAATATTTTGTAACACTTTCCATCCGGCGGCCAAAATAACAATTGCCAGCCACGTGGTTGAGCGGCGCAGGGATTGCTCGACGGGTCTGCCCATGGTGGAGGCATTATCGCTGACTTCACGTGAAGCTGAACCATTGATGTCAACCAAATTGTCACTAGCAATTCCCGTAAAGCACTGGAAACCATTTGGTGATTAATTTACATGGATATTATTAATGATATGAAGATTAGAATGGAAGCAAGAGAGGATGGATGTTCAACAAAAAAATTAAAATAATTTGGAATTGAAGTTCAAGGATTAATTGAAATAACAGTCAAGGGAAATGAAGGATCAAGAGAAGAACAGAAATTATAAACTAAGGTGGAACTTCAGAGAACAGTCATCAAAAGTAGAGTAAAAGATGACAAGATTAACTTGTATAAGTGGAATCATATTGTCATCTTTAAAGCAATTCCATATGTTTATTTTGAAGACTCGTGTAAAATGTGTGCTAAAAACTGGAGAATAATGATTGCGTTAGAAAACACATGGCCACGCGTGTGCGTGTACGTGTGTCAAGATCGAGGGTACGGTAAGAAAGAGCAAAAGCACGACAGAAATAAAATGACCATACTTTCACTGTTTCACTATGGCAATGGCATTGTCCCTGATGGCAGAGTTTAAGATGACGACATGCATATAGAATACGAATACAGTCCTGTACGAATGCTTCGCAAGTGTTGCAAACTGAAAGCAAAAACACTTTCCTCTTTTTTTCTCTTATTCCCTACGAACGTTGCCGGACAACCAGCCATTTCAAGTGATATCCGGTGTATCTTACAGTGGTATCAAGATTGTATCGGAATCTCTTTTATTTTATATTTTAGATGCATTCTATCTTTAGATTTTCGAATATTAATCCCCTTTTCAAAAAAGGTGCATGAACTGAATAGTGACAAATTTTTTTTGATTAATGTTTTATAATATTTGTGTAAGCTACAGTATGTTTCGATGGAGCGATAATCCTTTATGTAAGTTAAAGGAATTAAAGAGATTTATCTCCAAGATTTATACACGCTTCCGAAAATCAAGGAAGTAATTACAAGATGCGAGGAACTTTACCGCTTAAATTCTAACAGTTGCTAGACAAGCTTTCTTCCATGACTTTCCATTACATTCAGAACGAGTTTCGCTGATAGTTTGCTATCGTTTTATTAATTAAACTTTTTTTCGCTTGTTGCTCTTGTTTGTAGATAGCAAGTGTTCGAAATTAGTCCATCGTGATCTTATTCGAGAAACATACCAACAAATCTATTCCTAACATCTTTATTACTGTCTTTTTGGTGTGATCAGTTGTGTCAACGTTTTCTTCTCTTTATCGAAAATATTTTCTTTTATTGTTGAAACGTAGGGAAGTATTTAACAGAGCGTATACTTACACGTCATTAAGAGCAATTGATTAGAATTTTTGTTCAATTACGAAAAAGGAAAAGATGGATTGTCAGAATAAGATCGTTAAAGAAAGTCACATAGTTACTAGAAAACTACCGCGCATTGCGTAGTATCATGCTTCCTTTTTCCTGTGTAATTATTGCTTCTCATTGTCAAGCCGGTGTGACGACTTTGCGCAAATAAAAAGTGAGAGTATTAGAGACGAATCCGGGCAAACAATATATATCTCTCTGTACATTTCTTTGCGAAAATACAAATAGGTTTATTGGAATTTCTACATACCCCATAAAACGAATGAATACATGCAATTTTTTATAACGCCTACAAAACATGAGTTACATTGTGAACAGGAACATATAACGCGTGGTGATACGTGACAAAACGTTCAGAATCCGAAGAAATATATAATAATCTTGATCCTTGAGATTTCACTCTTAATATGTCATAATTTCACTCGTGGTAGTTGAGTCGTAAGAAAGTTTCTTTTATACGTAAGTGCATTCATTGCTCTTTAATTGAAGAATATATCGCGTTACTTAAAAGTAAAAGTATCTTTGTTTATATCGAATCTTAACAGTTTGCGATATCATTTTTTACGAGGAACTTTCACGTCCACCTGCATGTTAATTCATAAAATATGAAGATTAATCGTCAGTGTACAATGACTAATTGCTTGATCAGCACCTCGGAAGTCAGGCTTTAAATTTTCAATTGCTCAAGGCGATCACTGTAATTGTGAGACGATAAAGGACATTTTAATTACTTCCTGGTTATATCATAATTATTGGAACATGTATTGTATAACTCTATTTACTGTTTACAGGATTATGTAGCTAAGAATTCATTTAAAATTTTTATTTTAAGCTTTCACACAATTCTGCAGATTTTTCCTTATTAGAAAATTATAGTTTAACTGGGAGACTTTCTATTTAAAAGTAGTTAACACGCGTGTATAAGCATTGTATTTCGTTCGCGATAAAAATTGAAAAGTACGCGGTTTAACAGTATTCGACATTTTTTATTTTTTGTAATAAACAATTGAATTGCGGTATCGTGTAACTATAGGAATTATGTTATATTTCGCACAAAATTATTAGTGTGGGTGTTTCGACTACCCTTTGTGGCTATCAAACGTGATATTGTTTTGACGCAATAGAGAATACAGCAGAAAATTGTTAATTTCATTTATTAGTACGAAGAGATCAATGATGAGTTCTTTAGAAGGTTATTCTTGTTGCTGCTTGGATCGTGACGAGAGCAGACGATGTAGGTATGATTCTTTTGTCATTTATTTATCAATGAACACGTTACCATTATGGTAACTGACCAATTTCACTTTCTGAACGTAGAATTGTTATAGTTATTGTCATTAGAAATTATAATATTATTTTAATTATAATTTCTGTATAAAATAGGTGAATAACAATAATCGAGCTCTCTAAGCGTAACAGCATTGGTCTTTGTTACATTGTTTTTCTTGCACTAATTTCTCGACACGTTCAATAATTTCATACTTCTTTCGTATTCAAGCCCCTTTCCACTTTTTCTGCATGTTACATAATGTTCACTCATAATGTAACATGCGATAACAATCAACAACGTTATATCATTAGCAGACGTTTTATAGAGCGACTGTTTCCTCGGGCAATTCGACCTATATTCCATGGTTATACTACTAGGCATTCACGAAAAGGATTATCGTAATTATTTCATTTTGTACTCCCATTGTCATATAACTTTCTCGCCAGCACTCGTTCATTTTGCAAAAGAAGTTTTATCCGAGTTACTTATTCTTTCACTATTGGAAATGATTATGTTTATACAATTTAAACAGATTTGGGGATTATTACATCTAATATCAGTGTAATTCATATTAAATTATATTAGGTAAAATATAGAGTTTATAACTTATGATATATCATAAAGTTTAATGTCTGAGGAACAATATACAAACCCTCAATGTTCTTATATTAAAATTGCCAATACACAGAACAATGGTCGATTTTGAGGCATGGAAAGTCTATGCATATAATCACTCGACGTGCAACAATCTAACATGTAATTTCAAAGCGAATTAAAATAAGTGATGGTTGTTCGATCGATGAATGAATCATCTATTCCATCTACAACAATGTAATGGTTTCAAATTAATTTGTTCATTGGAGTGGCTCAATGAACTCTTTCCATTGTTTATCTAATTGACTGTTAAGAGGCGTACCATTATGTCCTACTTGGATCGTTCCACTAAGATAATTACATAACGAGTCGTAACCACCAAAGAATACCATGAATTAAATCACCATTTGATCTTCCTCGGAGCACCTCTCCGTGCCGTGACATTTTCTGTTAGAGATGCGAAATGACCTTTCGAAATTACTCGCTCAATCTTGTTATGCAACTTTCACTATAAGTCTATCGCTGAATTGTTAGGTGAATGTGTAATCGTTCATGATGAACATTGAATTAAAAAGAAAAATGAAACTGCATGTCAGGGTAGAACAATTGAAGAAGATTCACAAATTTCTACGTGCTTGAGTTCTGCAATTTTTGTACTCGATATAATCATTTTAGTTTAATTATTAAATCTCGGAGGTAATTCTGAAAAATCAGAGAGTTTGCAATGGGTTCTTCGAATCGATGAAAAATAACCCAAGAATTTGTATTGTATCGTGAAAGTAAATTCCCTTTCGAGAAGTGCAGGAACGATAGAATTTCTGGGTAAGAGTTGCACCATCCTATCTCTTTATGGTGTGCTCGTTTTTTAATTATATTTATTCCGACTGGGTAATGCATGGGTTATCGCGTGCCCGCTATAGATTTTCAAACTGGCTTCCACGTTATCTGAGGTCGTATATCATAGTTATAAATTGCATATTGTTTCGTGCCATTTAATGGATGCCATTGTACAGAGTATAACTTCACAAGAATTTGAAGTGGTTAATACTTCTACCACAAACAAGTACAGAATTTACTACTGTTATAAAACCTTTCTATCTACATCGGTATTTCTATTACAAAATTTACATTATTGAAAAATTCATTTAAAAGAAGATTCTAACATTCCTACACTTCATCTGACATCAGATGCTTTTTAAAATTTATATTGGTACTTGAGTATTGTGTACTTAGCATTAATACTTCTTTGTTGCATCTTATGTTTACCGAGTTTCATTCATAGTACACTTCCTTAACTTACTTCTTCATAGTTATTTAATCAAAAAGCACTGTTGCAGAATTTGTAATTTAACATATAAATTATTCACATCAACCTAAAATATAAATGGTGAATATTATATGTAACCAGACATAATGGACATAAGAGAAAAAATGTTTTGCAATAGGAAGAGTTGACTTACAATGAGGGTTTCATGGTGAAGATGGTGGTCCGCTCGCTAGTAATCACATCACAGATATTCACTGAAGTTCACCTAGTCCTTGGTTCGTCGCTTGACATCCTGCGATCAACGCGAGTCGCGCGAAACGAAAACGATGGTGTTGGCTCGAGTACCACTGCCAGACTGAAGCAACGACTTCGAATCACCTCTACGGCATTGCGCTGTTACCTAACTTCTCCGAGACAAGAACCCAATTCTAGTCCTGACTCCCTTCCCGTTCATTTTTTTCGGTAGTTTCCTCCATCTTCTTGCAATCGCTTCCAGAAGACCGGGGAAAGCAGTCTGTGACGTCTTTTATGTTCGAAATCTAGAAGGAATGCATTAGATAAGTTTGGCAATTATATCTGCTCATTAAGTATGAAACTTGAGGAGTGGAATGTAAATCCTTTTCCATGTTCCATTTCTCAATCATTTCAGAACTTACTCAGTCATAGTAATCGTGTTTGCGAAATTGTGTTGTAATATCGTAGATCATTGAGTCCTTTGAAAATTCCCAGTTACGAAATTTTCGCGATCGAGTCTTTCGTTGCTCGACCTCCGTAAGGTCGTTCCGAACAGGAGAGAAAAGCATCCGTCTTCTCGGAGGCAGCTTTCGTTACGACCTATTGCATAACCCCGATGGATCTGGTAACTTCATTTCAACGAACCAACCTACTTGACTCCTTTCCCCTTCGATGTACTCTTCTCCAGCATCTCCACACGTATCCCAATCTTTCAGTGATCGAAACGGTGTTGCACGTCATTTCTTGTTAGTCGTTTCAAAAGCTCCATCATTTTCACCGGAAGGAAAACTATGGAATCTTTGAACTTAAATAAAACATTGGTACCTTGTAACTTTCTTCGTTGCCGATATAAAATGTCAACCTCTAGGATGTTAGTTATTTTAAGAACAAACTTAAATTTTCATATTTCTATTTGTTTGATAGCAGTATCTCTTCATTCGGTATTCCAATAGTAAAGTAGGCGATGTAAGTTGATCCCTAAGACCCCGGTCTAATTAACTACTAGCCACACCTCGTTTATAAATCAAGTAATTTACACTCCGATGTCCAGGAGTTGAAAGTGGCAAAGCGAGTTGCGATTAAAGCAAGACAACAAACTAGAAACAAACTTTTCAATCGCTTCCTACAAATCATTTACCAGTTGAAATGAATACACCCATTGAACGTGTAAATGAAGAGTTATGCGTTTCCAAGATCTTAAAGCCTGAAATTAAATTCATATAAAAATACGGATCTAGTAAAAATATTCATAAATGGGACTTAACCATCGACCGTTAGGAAGAAATACCTGTTACATAATCGGTACGAAATGATTTAACCAACATAGAAGAGTGTAACCAGTGTATTCTAAATATTTGACTCCGCATAGATCAGGGACTGGTTAACTCATGACGTAATACCGAATTACAAAATCAACGTAATAAGACATACCACGGCTATAAACAACCGGACATGAGATCTCGAGGGTACATCGTGAGTCATCTGGGTCCCGCTTTAAAATGAAATCAAATGATCCTTTTATGGAGAGTGGTGTGTATCTTTCGGAGTGATTGCACGGAGAAAGAACCGAGATGTTGCTTTTATATGGAGATTCGGAACAACGGCAGGCCCTGTTTCAGAGAGATCACGTAATCTCTAGGAGTCAAGAGACTCGAAGAGATTACAACGGTTCTTCTTATGCATCCTGTTGCGAGTGTTTCTCACGTGCTGACGTTCCCTGCATTTCGAGGAACCGTGCAATGCCCTTTACCTGTAACGGTAAAGGTGAACGGCACCTCTAAAAGGGCGCCCATTTTGACATCGAGTATCGTACATAGAATTCTGGTCGAGGGACAATCGATGTAGAAGCGCGTTTAGGTTGATGCACTCTGTTGCATGAACCATTTCTTCAATCTAATCCAATCTTGAACTTCCAGTTTGCTTGTTATTTATCTTCATATTTTTGTTCAATTGTTCTTCGTTCCAATTAGTTAACAAGACGATAGTCACGGAACTATATGTGTCATAACATTTCTCTTCAAGATCATAGTTGCATCAACTCGAAATCTTTGAACCATGATTGCAGCAGATCTTGTAAACGTGTAACGTAACCGCGAAACGTAGCTGGCTTCTCTATCGCGGCTTCGATTTCAGGGACATTCTTCAGGATGAACGAGAACGAAAGTATGACTTGCTCAATGACGAAGTCTAACGGGATGAAACGGACGTACGATGACCTTCGTCGACACGTTCGAACCTTGAATTCTGAAGGCGGATCTTGAGTTCCTTCGTTTCTTAAGTTTCTTTGTTACCTAAAATTAGTTATACATTTTTCAGTTTATTCTTTAAATAAGATAAATGCTAGTCGATATCATATAGAAAAAAAATTCTTGAAAGGAAATTCTCATCTTTCTTTAAGGATAACGTAACTTATAAGATTGAAAATTTGAAAGTATCGGAAACATTATGTAAATGTTAAAAAAAGAGCCATAATACCTCCTTCTCGTTTTGTAGAAAGCATGGAATACGTATGATGCTGATTAAATTATGACCAGATTAAAGGTTAGTTGTTTTTAGTTCTCATGGACGGCGTAAGGTTTCCATCATTAATTATGAAAGTATTGGAAAATCTGTACAATTTTATCATCATTTATGCCGAAGAACTTCCGCGATTATTTTATGGATATTTATACACGTATAAAAATGTATTCTCGAATGAAGGAAGTACATTATGGTATTTGCTTTCCCTTCTTCTTAAGCATCTATGCCTCTTTCCAGATCCAATAAAAGTGGACCTTTGAATTATTTATTGCACATAAAATTAACGTGAACATTTTAGATTTAAATATACGTGTTTAGACTTGGACGTCTAAATCTTGCATCTCTTAATAAATCATACCTATTCCATAATCTGTTATCTTTATTTAAACTTCGCGCTCTTTTAAACAGTCCGGCTACTTGAATGAAGTCATTTTTGATCATTTGACGTAACAGTCTCGGTAGTGGAAATCCATTCATTTTGCAATGCGACTTATATTGAATCTGAAAGAAACATTCTTCTTACCGTAATTTTCTTCGCGAAGTCCATGACACAATTCCAGTCTTCGTTATCTTACAGCTGTAATCGATTATTTAATCATCGTGTTACTTGGAACACCACGTGTCACGACAGTTGTCAAATATTCTGAAAAATAATTACAGTTGATTCTTCGGGAAAAGGATATGCATTCGAGCCATCGCTGAATTTCAAATTGCGTTAACTAATGGACATGCTTGCAACGTGTTTACGACTCATGCGTGTCGAATGCTAGCGAATATTGCGAATTTCTTAAGGTTATTTTCACTTTCGTACAGAGAAAAAGGTAGTATTGCATAGATACGAACCATCGAAGGAAGCTGGTAGCATCAAGGAAGGATCATAAGATGAGAGAAAGCCATTTGTTCGGTGTCCAGGTTGTCTGGACTTTTTTCTTTTCAAATTGCGACGACTATGCGCCTGCGTGCGTCTACGCTTACGTAATGCGCAGATGCGTGATCGAAACATGTTCGATCGATGATCGATTATTAGATCGATTATAGAATATTGTTTAGAGATACACATATATGATTAATTTATATGATTAATTGTTATTAACATAATAAATCTTTGTAGATAAAATTACACTTACTCCTATAACACGATACATGAAACATCGCACGTTTTAATTTGTCATCGACTTTCTACGATTTCTGTCCTACGTATGTAGTTCGTAGTACCTAATAAAGTCGTTTCGAAGGCTACGTGATCCACAAGCGAAACGAAATCTGGCCACGTAAATATTTTCGAGAAAGAATGAAGCAACTCTCGTCACGATAGACGCCTAATTCATCGCGCCGCCCTTGTCCTCTTTCGAGAACGCTACTTGCGCCATCGAGGGATATGCGTGCGATTCGCATAATCGAATAGACACGAATTTAATATTAATACTATGAAGTAATGATGACAGTACAGTAGGTTTAACAAAAAACGTTTCCATGATTAATGCAAACTTCGTATCCAAAAACGAGGTTAAAAAGACGCTGATTTTGTCATACTTTTCTTTTGAAAATTCAGTTGCTGAAATAAGATCTTCGTTTGTCTTTTGCAGAATAACTGTCGATCAGAGTGCTGAGCAAGGCAGACAATTGAGAATGTCGCAGCTAGAGGTAGAGAATCTTCAACGGCAATTACAAACGTCCAGTTACGATCGGGAAAATGCCATTCAAGAAAATCAACGGATCCAGGATGATTTGGCTGCGGTTACTTGCGAAGTAAGAAATTTGCAGCGCGAACTGGATGCATCTCGCGCCGAATGCTCCGACTTGAAGCGGCAACTTCAAACTTACGTTGGCGAGGTCCGTCGAGCCGAGGAGCTTCTCAATCGAAAGGTGGTTTTACTAAATTTTAGTGATGCTATGTGAAATAGGTAGAAATTTAAAATAAATTAATATTGTTTATATATTTGCAGGAGAGTGAAAGAACCGAGATGTTGAATCACTTCAGAAGTTTGAGTTTAGAAGCAACAGTTCTGGAAAATAATAATCACAGCTTGGAGTCTGAAGCGGCTGAAGCGAGAGGAGCACTACAGTCAGCTAGGGATCGACTGTTAGACTTAGAGCGACAATTGGCTGATAAAGATACTCTGATCAGAGGCTATGAAACACAGGTGTTACTTATTTCAAGACGTATATTCTTAGATTATAGATCTTTGTATCCTTAAATGTCTATATCTATATCTGTTCCCGTTCAAATTTTGTAGATTAGCGAATTAACTCAAAATGTCGCAAGCATGGAAACACAGTTGCGCCAACAAGGGGAACAGAGGCGCAGAACAGAGGCTGATTTGAATGCTGTGAGAGATTTGTGTGTAAAATTGGATCAGCAAAAAGATACGCTGATGCTACAGCTGGATGATAAAGACGCACTTAAGGCGCAGGTAAATGATGCAATGACTTCCATAAATTGTACATATGGAATATGCGGATGAATAGAATAATCGGTATCCAATTTCATTTAGTACGATATGCAAATCGCTAAATTGAAAGCGGAGCAGACTGTAATTCAAGATCAGATGAGTAGAGATCGCGCAACAGTCGAACGGTTAGAGATGCTTTTGGATCAAGCGCGGCAAGAATCTATAAGCGTGCAGGCCAACAATCAGGAGCTTCAAAACGAGATGTCCAGACTGAGACAAAAGATGTCCGAACTGCAAAGTAAACTGTAAGAAACAATTGAGTTTCGTATTGAGTTATTGTAAGATGTATTTCATGTGTATATGTATAATGTTGTAGATCGTCGGAATCGGGAAAGCTACGGCAATATCAAACTCAAGCTGCGGAGTACTGTAAGCAGATCAGTGAACTGCGTAGACAAGTTACAAACGAGAGATTTGATCGTGCAAGAAAGGAAGAAGAAACTCGCAGGTATGTTTTACGAAAACTTTTATTAATTACAGCTCAAACTTGTTGATGTATAAAATTGGAATCAGTAGGCGTTCAATATAGTAGTAGTAGCTGTTTAGATTTTATATGTTGTATGTTTGTTTTAGACACTCAGAAGGTCTTCCTGATTCACTCGTCCAAACTCCACCTCCTAATAACCAAATCCCTTGTAATTCAAATGATACAGGATTTACGACGCAAAGGTAGATAAATATTTAGTAAAATATAAACAGATTTTTAATGCCGAGGTGGATTTAACAAGAGCTTCTAACTTTTTTTTTTATACATGATATAATTTTTCACTCGTACAAATCTATTAAGTAAAATCTAAACCAAACCTCCCTTGTGCTGTCCATCTCTGCAGTACTTTATACGTTAGTATCCATTTTATTAAAAAGAAATGAAAATTAAACTGCCAGGCAAATAGTAGACTGGTTGAAGAAACCTTACACCGCGATTCCCAAACATTCCCGTATACTTAGTCCTGCGCAATCAGTAAACAAGCGAAATTCTTTCCCTTTGGATTGCAAGTGTTTACCCTCCAGAAAATCTTTAAACGATTCATCGTCCAACAAATTGTCATTCGTGCCTTGTATCTCGAGTAACGAAGCAGATGTCTCAAGACAGAATAATTCTGAAAACTCCAACAAGCACTGAAAAGTTCTGTGATTGTGTAACCAATTGCTTTGTACGTGTTTTGTGGTGGTTCAATTAGCAATTATAATACACAGTTTTTTAATATGAAATAATTAATAAATTTGAGCGTAATACAATCGTCAAACTTCGACGTTTAATTTGGTAGCTGCATTTATCCAAATCGTAATCTTATTTTTATTATTCTTTTGTTCACAGGTCTTTAAATTCCACACCAGACAGTTTTAACGTAGATTTAAATGTGGTTATATAAAGTATCGTTTAACGTGCTCTGATCAACAGATATTTTCAGAACGAAAAATATGAAGAGCATGATGAAAGTAACAGGATGAAAACGATTGATGCTAATGCAATGTCACGTTTTGGATGTTCGAATATGAAGAGTAACAACAGATGTAATAATCGTCCAAAAGAAATTCAGTGTGATGTACCTTGCATCAATATAACATTACGATCAGATTGTAAATTACATTCCAATCAGTACAACTACGTGCAAAAAGAAGATGCACAAAATGAACATAAATCAGTGCCTCAAAGTAGAGAGTATTTAACTCGAACAAATATGTCGGAGTTAGATTTGTCCAATAAAAAAAATCATTCCATCTGCTTTAACGCAGACAATCATTTTAACGTCTTACAAACAGTGAGAATGAAATATGAAGCAAAATTGGGAAGACCAGATACGCAACAGTTTAGTTCACTTAACAATCACACTGCCTTTGATGTAACAAATAATTTGGATGTGTCACAATTAGGTGGACGAAGTGGAACGCAATACAATCAAGATATTGAACAATCAACTTTTACTAGCACTCCTCAAATTGCATACGGAAGACAAAGTTTTTTGCGTTACCCCTTTCATTCTACCAAAATATGGAACGATACAACTGACAGCAAACCGATATCTTCCGAGATTAACAGCACAGTTTTAGAGAAAGCAGATCAGAAAGATAAACTTGAAACAAATTTTGATGTGGATACGTTTGACGTTAAAAGTAATTTGAAATCGAGTAAAAAAGTGTCATGGAAGGATTTGTCACAAATCATGTTACAAAATGATAAGAAGAAAGACTTGGTCAATTTAGAGAAATTTGATACTGGTAAACAAAATTTTAGTTATGTTCCGAGAGAAAATAATAAATCACTTTTGCAAAATTTGATGACTTTTAGGAATACAGATTTAAACTCAAAATCTATAAACGCATTCGTCAATTCTAAATTTCAGAGGATTGAAAATTCATTGCGTTCTACAGATTACAAATATTCCATTTGTACTAATAGAATACCGTACATCACTAAAAATTTGATTGACAATGATAAAATTGAAAATAGTGTTTGTACTAATAGAGTGTGCAATATCTCCGAGAATAATTACGGAAAACACATCTCACTGGAAGAAAGAACTTGCAATCAAATTACAGAAAAAAAGCACAAAAAAACATGTACAGATATAAAATGTACAAATGATGTTACAACAAATACTTTAGTGAAATTTGCAAATACTGATTGCTGTAATGAAGAAAATAAAGAGAAGTGTTGTATGAAAACAATTGATATTGCTTTGGATACATTACAAGATATGTCGAATAAAATAAAAAAATTGCAAGATAAAAGTAGCATTAAACAATATTCTCAAGATTGCCACTATCAAGAAGTGAGGTGCAAAAATATGGATTGCAATTACTCAAATGGAAGATATGAGGTTGCACTATTAGAATGTAAACATAATTCTGTGAAACCATCAGAGTTAATGACTCCAGACTGCATGAAAATGTTACAGGAAATTAAAGAATATACGAAAATTTTAGAAGAGCAGTTGACAATCATTGATAAAAATATAAAGATTAAGAAGAAAACAATTGAGAAGCTTGTACCAACTGTTGAATATACTATGGATCTTAAATACAATCAAGACATTTATAATACTAGACAACAAAAAGATACAATAACACAGAATCCGGAGAAAAGAAACATCTGTATACAGGAACCATCGAAAGATTATGTAAACTGTGCACAATATACAATAGAACAAATAGAAGAAAAGAACAAATATCAAAAAGAGGAAAAGCAAGGAAGTAAAAATTGTAAAATGGAAAACTGTAATGTTAATGTAGATGATCAAATTAAACGTCAAGATGATACTAAAACAACACAACACGTAAAAGTTCAGTGCGTAAGATCTTTTCATATTATTGATCCTTTAAATTGTAGACCTATTTCAGCGTGTATATGTAATGAAGGGGTAAACGTATCCGATAATAAAAGCGATGGTTGTGTTCAAAATTGTATTGCGGGTAAGAACTTAACACAACGAATGGACAAGACTATGATAGATAAACTAATATTGGACTCCATAAAAGTAAAAAATGTTAGAACTAATTTGATGAATGTAAGTGATGAGCAAGAATCTTTGACTTGCGAGGAAAAAGCTATTATGATGTTACTTTTAGCGAAGAGCATAAGCAACAAATGTTTAAAATCTAAATATAAGAAGTCGGAGCTTATAAATTTTAGACCAAAGTGCATTACTAATTCATGTATCTCGTGTCATCAAAGGTTGGTTAAATGTAAGTCCAAGCGAAAAATGCAGATACCTGTTGTGTTCAAACAATCAAAACCTACTAAATGTAGAATCGAAGAAAATATCTATTCTAATCAAAATAGGCACGAATATTTTCCGAAGCAATTAGAAAATGAAAACCAATTAACAAATTCGATGACTGTCTGCACACAGTCATCTAACTTGCACATTACCACAGCCACCTCAGTTTCTCGTATTTCTATTAGTACCAAAAGTAGGGTGGATAATGTAACTGAAGAAAAGAGGCCAAGAGGGGATGCTTGCATATTGAGTTAACATGTGAATGTAAAAGAAAATTCATATTCAAATTAACTTGCAAAATTCCAAAGGTTTGTTAAGTTAAAATAGGCCTGTAATAAGATAGTAATTTTCAATTCAATTCTAGCATTTGTTTGTACAATCAAGTATGACTTGAATTATAATTTTATATCGTTGTAAGTACATATCAACATTTTGAACACTAATTTTAAAATTGACTATAAAATTTTTAGAAATATTTGTAGGTATAAAGATTGCGATAAATTCATTGAGAATATAAATTTTAAACTAACAAATTGTAAGACTGTATTACTACTAATTATAAGACTGTATTAAGTACTTTGTTGTATACGGTAATATATTGTATTATTTTTATACTTTACTTGCTAAATGAATAAAGCTGTAATTTAATTATACAAAATTAACTGTAGGATGTTATATTGTACCAGTGTCAAATAAATATCTTTTTAGCTATAAATTATTTTATGTATTTATAAAGATTCAGAACTTGGAATAGGAGGCAGGCTACATATTTTGGGATATTAATGTTCTAGGACTTTTGAATTGTAGTTTGTTAACTTAAAGTCTTATGATCTTTAGATCTTGAAATCTTTGATACATGAAAATTTTGCTACTTGATTTCATATCAGGTATATTAAGATATTTTTTGAAACTCATCATGAAAAAAATAAGTTTTCAAATTAAACTCATACGTTTAATTTTAAATGTCTCCTTTTGCATTTAGTAATTTATTATATCATCCTTTTATTCTTTTACACATATGTTATGATCTCGATGATCGTACGAAACGGTGAACATGTAAACTAGGTAATTACAAATAATAAAAATAAAAAGCCTCTCATAAGATTTCTCTTCTAAACGTTCAGCTATTCCAATTTGATTTATGTATATTTATATATATATATATTTATATTTGTGTATTTATGTATTTTATATATATATTTTCAAATTTATATATAATCTATATATAAAATACATAACAGAGGCTCGCACATATTTCATTGTTTCGCAATTTACGATGTTAAATATCAGCTTTCATCGTTATTTAAATCGGTGCCAGCCATTTTAGCGTCGGTCTGGTATCAATTCGATAATTACAAAATTGTCGTACCCTTGCAACTCCTATGTTTTGTCGTAACCTAATATAATACAGATTTTTTCTTCCTACTTCGCTTCGCCAAACATTTAATCTTACACCTTGAAGAAATTTACACAGAGCTCGTAACATGATGAATGAAATACACATGTATTATGTACAAATATTTATAATTACATTACATATATATACCTTTTTTCCCGCCTTTTCATTATTCTAATACGGTCTTAACTTTTAAAGTCGTGGTCGTGCTCGACACACGCGTAAATGCAATTTATTTTTCCGAAGTTAACATCCGATAATGTTTCAATTTTTAATCGCTCACGAAATCAAACAAAGAGATCCGTTCACTCGAGTTATAATTACAATAGGTTCCAATTGGCGTAATTAGATAGCTATCATGGTGGGTTTGGTCCTTTTCGCGTAACATACGGGAAGTAGGATATAGCATACCTTGTATACCCTATATTACAAACTTTTAAATTTCAAATTACGAAATTCCCAATTTTTTAAAAAAATTACTCGATTTCTCCAAACTTTGGTAGGTGCGAGGCGTTGACACTGTTAGTAAAGTTAAGGGGCTTAACCCACCCCGGAAAAAATATCTTCTAATTACGCCAATGCAGGTACCAACGAAGAATTAATTGTAAGTTATAGAAAGTAAAATTTAGTAACTCTTCGTTTCAACTGAGATTACCATTCCATAGTATGTTTTCTTTTCTCATTGCCTGTTTTTGTACAGCCTACGTATCATACAAAGAAGTCAATCATAATTCGTTAGAATTCATATCAAAACAAAGTGATGAGAAGAATTTTGCCACCACGGTCAACAAGATTCACTTAATCCTAATTTGGTTTTTCAAAGAATTTACAGAAGCATCACATTATAAAGTAGTTCCAGAAACAGAATAGGTATTAAAAATTTATTACAATTTTGACATTCCTTTAGTTACAGTGCGGTTTCGCTATATGGAGTGAGAAATATTGGGGAGTGGGCAATTAAACTTTTGAAATTCTCATATTTCTAAAATTAAAAACTTAAGTTTAATGTACAGTGGTAACTTTGTCCTTTACGTCGCCATTTTCTGTAAGGAATTGTATAGTGCTCGTCAGTGTGAGTAAAAATTCATGTACAAGTTTGTTACTGTATAAATAAGAGCCATATAGCGAGACACCACTGTAGCTCTGCGTTTCAAACTCTTTCTATTTATTTCAAAATAGAAAAAAAGAAAAGAAGATTGGAATCAATGGAAATAGTTGCCTTGGAAAGTGCTTCTTTTAGTTTCTGCTCTGTCTCTCTCCCTCCCCTTTTAGTGCTGAAAATTTGAAAAAGACTGGCTTTAAGAACATTTAGGCCTTTCTAATTTGAAGTATAAATATACTTACACCTGTATCATTATAATACACAGATAACTCGGAAGCGATAATTGATCTTTGATCCAAATCGAAGTGCATAGTTTTATGGATGCTTCGTCGTTTCTCAAAATACCATTTGTGATTCGCGCGAAAACGGACTATGTTATCTTGCAAATGACAATGTAATTGCGATTGTAATTCAACCCGAGACGCTCGATTTACCGAAAAAGTATAAAAGTTATCTACACATATCCGAGAGTATTACTGAAGTCGAAAATGGTTAGTAATCTTTTTTGTAATTTGACCTAAATCCGATCTAAAGCAGAAGAAGTTCTTAGATTTACGATGAACCGAGCCGTTTATGCCAACGTTACATACACTGGCGAACACGATAGACTTCCTCTTCGAGAAAATGGCAATATAGGGAAAGGAAGCTCCATCCATTTGGTTACATATTTCCAATTTAGCAATTTACAAGGATTTTCTAATCATAGTTTTGAGAATTTCTAGTTCTGAAAATTGGGAATTAAAAAATTTGAAAGTTTCCAAATTTACTTGCTTGAATTTCCAAAATCAAAGGCAGGTGGTGGAAGGCTCTTTCTCCTATAGTCGTTCCTATCGAAAGGAAGCCTCCGTTACAACCGAGCGTACTTTATGTGCGATGCCTTGTTAACGTCAGACAGTAAGATTAATCGATAATAAAACAAAGAGAGACGATAATATAGCCATGTAATTGCAATATGCAATTATAAGCAAATGATAAATTCCTAACAAATACATTTCATAAAAAGGTTTCTTTACATTCTAGGTTTTCTTGGTGACTTATGAAAAACATACAATAATAATATTAATAATAATTAATAATAATATAATATAATATAATAATAATAATATAATATTGTTTGTAATTAACTATAACGTCCATAAAGTATTTTCTTCGCACATTTTTTGTACACGATTACTAAAAACATTTCTTCCGCTTCTTGTTGAGAAAATAAATATTAATATTAAATTTGAAATATTATCTCGTTTTTTGTTGTTTTTTTCTTTTGTTTGTTTGTTTATCACTGATTCTGCATCACTTCCAACTACTGTCTTTCGTTTGTGTTACTAGTTTTACAGTACATTGTTATAATCTAAGTCGGCAAATCAGTTGATTGCCTAGTAAGTTTATAGGCCTCTTTTTAATAATATGGAACATTGCCGTATCCTCTTCTAGTACATCTTCTTGACCGTTCTTCCGTTTTTCCTCGTTTCCTTTATTACGCACAAACACACTTATTTGCAATGAAATTGCAAATTTCCCACCTTATGCATCATATACTTTTTCCTCTCACTTTACACTAAAATTTAAAATTGATCGCTGCTCGCAACGTGAAAGAGCTTATTTAGAGGCCTGGTTCAAGAGGTCACCTATGGTTACTGTTACTTTGATCGTTCATATCGTATAGAACTTGTGCGATTGTTCTCGACGATTCAACATTACTTAACGCGACACCTGCCAAATGTGGTTCGTACGCTCTGAGATGCCTAAAAAAAATAAATTGCCATAATTAATTATAATCAATTTTTTCTTTCAGGAAGAAGAGAAGAGAGAATCTTAGGAGGGTCGTCTAAAGCTTGTAAATTGTCAAAGAAATTTTACCTTCTGCCATGTGTTGAATATATGACTAGGTTTCTGAGAATAAGAGCGGCTGTCAAACGAATACTTTTAGTCACTGGACCTTCGTTGTCATCCTGTTACAACAAGAGAAAAGGATATATTAAAAAACACGAAACGTTATTTTTATGATTGTCTACAAAAATAAAAATATATAAACATCTAGTCACATTTCACTTAATGCTAGAACAAACATGATATCTGGATTAATTAGTTGCAAAACAGCTCTGAACATTAGTGAAATACAGTGTCATGAAAACAAAATGGTGTCAATGTCAAACAAATACAATCTGATGTCGAATAACAGGAAAAAGTATTTTTTCATACTCATAAAAACGTATCGTACAAAAATATAAATTACGAGTAAAAATGACCATGTTTCAATTTGCAGCGCTGTAAGTATGTTAATTTTCAACATATACTTGCAATCACAAAGTTTTCTGAATGAGTTAAAGTCTTGCGTCATTGATTAACGTCAGAAATGATTTTCTTATAGGTCGTAAGCATAACAAATACGTCTACATTATGCTGCGTAAAAACAAACATACCAACACCCTGTCCGTCACGAAAAAATAATACACTTCAACTGCGTAAACACATAAATTACAGTGACGCTAGCTACGAAATGAAAATATAATGATGTCCATGCTAAAATATATATAATATATATTGAAACAAAAAACCATAGCATGGTGCGAAAACAAAAGAAAATAAAGCGCAAAAAAATAACGGCAGGAACAGCACACGAGGGCTGTGGCTGTGATTCGTGAAACCCTTTTCTCAATTTTCAACACGTTTTTACCTGTTCTGGTGGAGGATTTTGCCCTGGTCTGGGGGAAGAAGAGCTTGAGGTGGCTGCAGCGGGCTTGGTTGGCCTTTGCTGCTTTGCCAAGAGAATAAGAAATTTCATTATATTAACAAAACTCAATAGACTCTATGAACCGTTAGGGATTATAAAGAATTCTTCGGAATATCGATGCATTATACTAAGTTCTTTGTTATTTCGTGTCAAATATTTTACTGACATGTTACCACCATAACAGAGAAGTGCTTTATGTTTGTTTCGCTTTACTAAATTTACAGCCTCGTTTTGTAACTGACTTGCATCACTTTGCAACTTTATGAAACTACCTACCATTAACTCCTTTGGATTTACGAATTCCAAAGCATGCCGTTTAATCGCGTGGAATGCTGCATTCGGTGCATATCCAGGGTGGTGAGGAGTTGGTGGCGTCGATGTGGAAACTTCCGTTTTCCCGGTTACCGTCAACTGTTTCCTTCTCATCGACATAGTCTGTAGAAACATTCGATAACGCAATCAAGTAAAGCGTGCTAAACATTTCAAAAAACAAGTGTAAGTATACTCACATCCGCGTTACAATGCCTATCGTACAAATGTGTCATTAACGAAAATCTACGCCTTTTCAAGGCATCGCAGCTTGCCCATAGACACAACGTTTCTTCTCCCCCAGTTGGACAATGTGCTTCGCACACATGGAGGTACACTTCATGCGGTGTTTTAAATTGCCTATAAAAATTATTTATAATTATATTACCGCTAAGCGTGTCATTATACTCTCACAGATCTTAGTTATATCACTGGCAATTCTCATTGTTAAATTATGAATCAATGCAATTACCTTAGACAACCTCGCCATTCGCACAGATAAGCATTCGGATCGATTTTTATCGTAATCGTCTTTTCCGGTTGATTTTGACTCGTCGACGGTTTAGATTCTGGCTCCGTAGAGGTTGAGGAACTAACAGTCTTCATTATTTTTGCAGGTTGTTTCGTCGGCAATCCGTGCGTGGCAGCTGCTTGATGCGGTGTAGTGGGTCTGGTAGGTGGTGGAGTTGAGGCTGGTGTAGGTGTAACTACTCTTGATGGCACGCTGGTGGATACTGGTGTTTGTTGAGCCATCGCAGGGATCGTAACAGTCACTGTATTCGGGTTTGTTTGTGCTACAGAACTGTTCACTATTATGGAAGTTTGTGGGATTGTGCCAGACGTTGGAACAAGCGGCGGAGGTATATTGCCAAGGGCGGGACTCTGCAAGATGGGTCGTGAAACTTGCGTCACGACAACTTGCTGCCCTTGGGGCGTTACTGCCACCATTTTCTGTTGCGTCGGTTGGGCAGCTGCTTGAGGTTGCAAAATGATTATTGTTTTTGCACCCGTTCCTTGTTGCTGAGTCGTTTGAGCCACTAAAACCGTCTGCGCTTGACCTTGAACCAACGTCGTTTGTGGTTGAGCTAAAACGTAATTTTGGCCAGGAACACCACCGGAAACGACGTACTGTAATTGACCTCCAGCTCCTTGCTGCAGCAAAACCTGTGGCTGGGCTTGCGGCTGCCTTCCCTTCATTTGCGCAGCTGGTATAATGACTTGATTATTTGGTTGAATCGTTTGTTGTACTACTATTTGCCTAGGAGCTGCGACGATGAGTTGTTGATGCTGTTGAGGTTGTTGTTGTTGCTGTGGCTGTGATTGTTGTTGGTGCTGTTGTTGAATTTGATGATGATGATGGTGATGGTGATGGTGGTGATGATGATGCTGTTGCTGCTGCTGCTGCTGTTGTTGCTGCTGCTGCTGCTGCTGCTGTTGTTGTTGTTGCTGCTGCTGCTGCTGTTGTTGCTGCTGCTGCTGCTGCTGCTGTTGTTGTTGTTGCTGCTGCTGCTGCTGTTGTTGCTGCTGCTGCTGCTGCTGCTGTTGTTGTTGTTGCTGCTGCTGCTGCTGTTGTTGCTGCTGCTGCTGCTGCTGCTGTTGTTGTTGTTGCTGCTGCTGCTGCTGTTGTTGCTGCTGCTGCTGCTGCTGCTGTTGTTGTTGTTGCTGCTGCTGCTGCTGTTGTTGCTGCTGCTGCTGCTGCTGCTGTTGTTGTTGTTGCTGCTGCTGCTGCTGTTGTTGCTGCTGCTGCTGCTGCTGCTGTTGTTGTTGTTGCTGCTGCTGCTGCTGTTGTTGCTGCTGCTGCTGCTGCTGCTGTTGTTGTTGTTGTTGCTGTTGCTGTTGTTGTTGCAATTGCTGCTGTAATTGTAACTGTTGTTGCTGCTGTTTTTGCTGCTGCTGTTGAAGTTGCTGTTGTTGTTGGTTCATTTGATTTACAAATATATGAGGTTCTTCTTTTACTACAGGAGATGTTCCTGTGCTGGCATTTACAGTGATATTTTCCTCAAGATCCGTTTCATCTTCTATACAATCCGCAGCTAAAGCAGCATAAAGGTTTGCGGCAGTGGAGGACACAGTTGCCTTTTCACTATCCTTGTCATCGTCTTGTTCCTCAGATTTTATGCTCGAGACGGTGGATTCAGCCGTTGTCGAATCAACAGCAGGATCCGGAGACATCGTGCCGTTCGAATACTTCAATTTTTTAACATCCACTTCGTCGGATTCGCTAGCGGCACGTTTAATCCCTCTTGGTGCTTCTATTAAGGTGTCCTCGGACACTTCTGTTTGTACAACGTTACTTTCCTCTACTTCAGATTTCACTTTAATGTCGGTAGGAGATTCTTTTAGTACTTTTTTAATGTGGTTTTCTACTAGATCCATTTCTTTCTCGTTGATGGAATTCTTTCCTAAGACCCCGTTCAAAATGGGTTCCTTGTCGACTTTCCTTTCTAACAAATCTGCAAGCATCATACTTGCTGTTGCTGTTGTTGTTGCAATTGCTGCTGTAATTGTAACTGTTGTTGCTGCTGTTTTTGCTGCTGCTGTTGAAGTTGCTGTTGTTGTTGGTTCATTTGATTTACAAATATATGAGGTTCTTCTTTTACTACAGGAGATGTTCCTGTGCTGGCATTTACAGTGATATTTTCCTCAAGATCCGTTTCATCTTCTATACAATCCGCAGCTAAAGCAGCATAAAGGTTTGCGGCAGTGGAGGACACAGTTGCCTTTTCACTATCCTTGTCATCGTCTTGTTCCTCAGATTTTATGCTCGAGACGGTGGATTCAGCCGTTGTCGAATCAACAGCAGGATCCGGAGACATCGTGCCGTTCGAATACTTCAATTTTTTAACATCCACTTCGTCGGATTCGCTAGCGGCACGTTTAATCCCTCTTGGTGCTTCTATTAAGGTGTCCTCGGACACTTCTGTTTGTACAACGTTACTTTCCTCTACTTCAGATTTCACTTTAATGTCGGTAGGAGATTCTTTTAGTACTTTTTTAATGTGGTTTTCTACTAGATCCATTTCTTTCTCGTTGATGGAATTCTTTCCTAAGACCCCGTTCAAAATGGGTTCCTTGTCGACTTTCCTTTCTAACAAATCTGCAAGCATCATACTCTGCAAAGGTTTCTCTTTAGAAATTACACTGGACGAATCTTTCGAGGAGCCATCGTCCTGGGCATCAATGTCCATGTTACTTGGTGCACCGTTCAAAAGTATTCCTTCGAAACTTGTTAACGAGTTATCTTCCTCCACGCCAACACCAGAACAGTCCCTACTACCACCTATACCACTACTAGATGCCAAAGAGTTATTTGTCGAATCCGAATCTTCGGCAATGGACGTACACGTAGAACGCTGATTTGTTTTATTTGCTGTAGTTACAGTTGTAGTTGGAGGCCGACATACTTTGATGGTTGAAGATATGTGATTTTCCGTCGAATTTAAAACCACAATGGAAGAGGTTGTCGATGTTGCTATTTGGTTGACATTTTCATTATCACTTACGTCAGTCTGAAAAACACAAAATACTACGTTGCAGACTTTAGAATGCACATTTAATAACTAGGATGAACTATACGGTAACTGGCACCTCCATTTCATATACCCCACTGTATTTTTTATCAATTTTAGTAATGAAGAAGTTAATACTGAACATTTTATCCAAGTGAATCCTTGCTAAAATTGGGTGTGTCAAGATTAGTATAGTTTACCCTAATCATAAGAACGTACATCATACCTTGTCACAATTATTAGTCATAATAAATTTGGCTCCGTTAAGCCTTTGTATCTTTTTGGCAGGAATGGGTGTAATAGCTGGTTTTTGTTTCGAGTTGACAGGAGTCTTTGGGAGTATCGTTGAAGAAGCTGTTGTCACAGGAAGTTGCGATACGTTGATTAATTGCTGTTGTAGTAACCTCTGTTGCTGTTGGCGTTGGGCAACCTACAAGACAATACGACTACGTTTAAAAAGTGTACCTATTATGCATTTTATAAATTCACTTTTCACTGAAGGGAGATAATTTCAATCTCGAAAACCATGCTTTTGTTAGTGCAGTTCAAAATCTTATTACTTTACTTAATTCAAAAATAATCATCTTGTTAAGTATTATGTATAAATTTTAACTAGGAATGTACACAAGTAAAATAATAAAGAACACTTTCATTGTAATTCCTGGTTGAAAATAAACAGCATAACAAAAAGGTAATATTTATATCTACTTCAAACGCAAACAAAGAAACATTTCAAAATCAACATCATTAAAACATACATTCGCTAAGTGATCTTATCCTGTAAAGTGGTTTTTCTATAATGATAATGTATGTCTTGTGCAAATATATTTGTTCAACATATTTCACTAGACAAGATTATTGTCAAAGTTTCATATCAACATCTTACAGCTATAAAAAGGTACTACTTTCATTGTTAATATACAACAATGATACCTGGTTGCTGGTTATTAGCTGGTTGGCACTGATGCTGGATGCGATGCTAGCAGTAGTGTTTGTTACACAGGCAGTAGGGGTAGACACACAAGTCGCAGCAGTACTGGGCATGCAGTCGCTGCTGACCGTTACCTTAGTAGCCAGAAGGCTTTTTATTATGGAACTGGACGTGGTACCACTTCGATTATCTTCTTTTGCAACTACCTGGACAGCTTGCGACTGTTGTTGTACTTGCTGCGGTTGTTGAGGATGGTGTTGCGGTTGTAACTGTGACGATTGCTGTTGCAACTGTTGTTGCTGCTGCTGAGGTGTCTGTGTTTGTGTACCACTACACAGCAACGCTTGGCTCAAATGAGGATGCGATACTGACACCTATTTAACAGTAGCGATAATATAATTATGATATTTTTATAACATATTTTGTGTTATAGTAAAAATATTTATTTGCTTATTTTCAATTACAAATTACAGAAACAGAAAAGTAAATGCTATGATATTATACTGTAACAGTGTATGTTAAAATGTTTGCAATTATGATAATTTTCTGTTGAACATGTCACACAATAATATAATGCATCAATTTCTAATACAATTTCTAAGTATTTATAATGCAAAGAAAGTTCAACCTTGTTTTAGAAGTATGGTTAATTTATAAATGAAACTAGATAACTGATTCTACTTCTCATGAAACTGATAAGGTATAATAGTTAAACACATTCTCGTAATAGTACTATGTTTATTATTAAGCATGATACGAATCAAATAAAACAAATGAAATTAGCTGCATCAAAAACAAAAAGTATAGTTGTTATAAGAATATAAGATAGTAATATCATATTACACTATGATAGATACAGATTTCAGTTGCACAGAAAGTATTCCAAGTAATATGTATTCAAGAAATGAAGAATCTACTTTAATCATGCAGTGATCAAATAGTCTAACATATAAGATACAATCAAATTGAAGTACTAAGCAAATTTTATGAATATGAACATATAAAATGATTATTCGTTCTTAAATTAATGTTCGTACATCATCGTTTATATCTCATAATTTTGTATCTTTAATTATGTACAATCAATTTACAGTTAAGTCCCGTTTATACGAAACGAAAGAGAATGAACATTCGTCTCAAACGAATTGCAGAAACTTGTAAGAATTGGAGAAAGTCTACGATAAGATTCGGCAACGAACATTTTGTTTCGATAACCTGGACTTCACCATTTGTACATCTACTTATCTGCATGCAGATGTAGCGATGGGATACACAGGATTCGAGGCATGCAAAATGTAACTTTGTTAAGGAAAGCCCATATTATAACAGCGTAGTGAAACCATAACCAAAATAAGAACCAAGGTCATGAATGGTAGAGAGAATGGTAGAAAGCTAGGATTTTGGACCCACCTGACTTTTAGAATCAACCTTGGTGACTGGATTTTGGGATTGATTTACAGTGTTTGTGGTGTTGGAAGGTGGTTTTGGTGGGGCAGATAATTGGGCTTTTAGGATAGGTGATGCTGGGGCAGGAGTTCTTGGAGGCCCAGATGCAGGATTGTCTAGGGCCGTGCTATCAGGAGCAGGACTTATACTCTTGATTGTACGCTGTTGTACGGGAAGCACCTTTACTGGCGTTGCGTTGACTGCTGTAATTGGAGCTGTGTTAGTCCCAACTGCAGTTTGGCTCGGATAAGTTACTTGGGGAGGTGTGGCCCGTACTCGGATTCCATCATAATACTGAGTACCACTTGTTTCGCCTTTCAATGGACTCGGCCCGACGTTTCCACCAAATACAGATCTGCGAACGAATTTCTTTCGATAGACTAATAGCAACTTCATACGATTCCTGAAATCACTAAACAGCAGTAATCACCTAACACATCTTGGAAAGTGAAGCGGAGCAATTACGCCTCTCCTACCAATCTTTGTGCAGCAACCCAGATATTTCTTATACAATTCTTCCTGCTCTATACGCACACCCGCTGCGGGTTCAAAAGTAGCTCTTAACCAACTTAAAGCAAACTGTTCGTTCTCCTGGATGATTTGTTGGTGCGCGTGTTGCTGAATCGAATTATTTGTCTCCACTGCTTCTATAAAAAGATATTTAAACAAGTGTTACATCGGATCACTCGAAAATATGCCAACTTACATTAAGGAGCATCAACGCTGTAGCTGCTTAAAAAGTGCACTGTTTGCGTAAGAAGAAAGGATGCTGTACGCGTAATATGTACGTTATAATAGATTCAGAAAAACACAGTGTACTTTGAAAAAAGTAATAATGTTGGTCTTCCTTAATTAACGTTATAAAATGTCGGTTATACTTTTGGACATACTGTGCGTAGTAGACTTCGTTGTCGTTGCAGCTGGAGTTGTCGGTCGCGAAGGTGCCGGACTAACGGGAGCTGGTGTTGCGGTAACTGTAGCTGGAGTGGTTGGTACGGACGAGGCCACCGTTGCAGCTGGCGCGGCAGCGGTGACCGGAGAGTTTTGAGTAGTACTCGGCGGTACAGCTACAGTGGACACTGTTTCGATTACCCTCATCAAAATACAAGCCTTCGGTCCATAACTCTGCGCTTCTACAGTAACAAGGGCGACTAATGTGTCAATAGCTCCGCGTACCCGCGCGACGCTAGTACATGGCCTTTCACCCAAAGAAGTCAAAGCGTACAAACATTCCAAGGTATACACTAAAAGGGCTATGTCGTTCAAAGCTAAAAACCTGCAAACAGATATACGAACTTTTAAACAATTTCCACTACGTTACATACATTCTTCGTCAATAATCCATTGCATTAATAAAATCCTCCACAGTATGATTATCTACCAATATATTGCAATATACAAATCGTAATACATCTTTTACATTTCTGATACTGAATATTTTTTCAGGAGCTGAGCAAGATGTACATGTAAATAAACATAATGCAGAAGGATTTTTCTGAAACCTTGTATATCAGAAAGTATTTACGAACATGCTCTTCAACTACTACAATGGCATAGTGATATCATTGAACGCGAAGAAGGATTATACCGAAAGTTATAACAAAAAATTCACCTGCATATAAGTTCATATACATTGTCCTCTAATCCAAATGTAACAATTTCTTCATTACTGTCTTGTTGGCTAATTTTATTAAGCACCTCCAAGCAGGATATAACAATAAACCTGTCCTGGGATTCAATTCCCTTTGCCACACATGACAACACAACATCCGTTATCCTCTCACCAGCCTCTTTTAAGATTATTTCATTCGCTATGTTTCCTAGTATGTCAAAACCAAGCTGATGCAAATTGCTCCACCTTGCTCTCACGCATAATAATACGAATCTCAAGAAACATCGATTCCTCCCTAATACAGCTGCGTTCTCGGGTGTAAAACTTAGATTCCGCAAAATAGATGCTATCTGCAACACTCGTTGGCCGTAAGGATCTTGCGTTCCCAGAGTCCGACCAACACAAAACAAGTCTTTATCCTCTTCTTCGAACTTTATGGAGTTTTGGTTCTGATCTTTCAAATTGTCATCCTGATGGGACCCTGTTGGATCTAACCTTGGACAATCTTGAGGTACCTGCAACGACAAATTATTTCATTATGAATTTTTATTAACACGTTCATCTCTCGTTAGAAACTGAAGACTGTTTATATATCCAGAAAGAAAACCAATTGTCTCACCCCATCGACTTCCATGGACGTAGAAGCCTCATCGTTCTCCGTCGCCGCTGCGGTGATGCTTTTGTTCTGCTTCTCTTTCTCCAATATTTTCCGCCTAGAAAACGTCTGCGGGCTGCCAGTCGGTTTCTTCATGAACGCCCTCTCGTTCGTCAGGTCTATCACGTCCTGAGAGTCGAGAACATCCGACCAGAAGGAGTTAATCGAGTAATTCCTTACGCGGGAGTAGACCTCGATGAAGAGTTGCCGGGTGTCCGGCGAGTCGAAGACGCCCGCGTGAGCGAGAAGAATGTTCACCAACCGGGGATACTTATCGAGACGTAAAATGTGTTTGCCTTCGTTGGAAAGTAACGTGCAAACGTTGATGGCGAAGTCTTGCTCGTTAGGAAGAGGCGAGAGGAGCGACAGTGCGAGCTTATCGTAGTTGGATGGTTTGTAGAGATCCGACGAAAGGCCGTTGTATTCGCGAAGAGATTCTGTTGAGGACACACAAAATTACTGACTATAATTCTCTTTAAAAAAACAAATTTTATAACAAAAGATATATGGAAAGTCTGCTTTATTTGTGTATCGCAGTTAGTATGTTAAGTCAGATCTAACGTTAATTTAAGAGTATGTTAAATAATGCTGTGCTATATTAATTATGTTAAATTAGTAGTTAGAGTAAATATAGAGGTTAGACGACGAGGTGCGTTAGGCGTGAGTTTTGATAGGGTCTAGATTAGCTGGGCTTCAGGTCCGTCGGGTCGAAATTGGTTTTATTAACGATCCTTTCTACCCTCTCCGTTAACTCTTTTCTACGATTTTTTTTTTGTTCCCTCGTCAACGGGAGTTCCATCGTTGGACCCCTGGGTTCCATAGTTTCCGGCAAAAGGTAGCACTTCTCCCGGGATAGCGCGATATTGATCGCGGTTTTGCGGCTAAAAAGATTACCGCGATTTTGCGATAATATTGCCCCGTTGGTAGCAATTCGATTACCGGTTCCAGTTCTGTTTGAAGAAAAGTGTTCCACGAAGCTCGTGCCGCACCGTTAGAAAGGAATACTTCGGTTTGCTATCGGAAAGCACCGTACGAAACGCGTGCGGATAATTGTAGAGGACGCGTAGGAGATACGGCGTGACCTGTTTTATGTATTTAGGAATTTGCACAAATAATGTACATACAGGATGTCTCGACAGAGTTGTACAGATAAGTATCGGGATATTTCGTGTGATATTTACTATTTTACGTACTTCGTTTTTTAAAGTCATTGAAAATTGAGGATGTTCTTTAGACTACGCATGATTTTTCGAACGAAATCTCAAAATTACCAACTAAGTTGGGTAATAGAATTTATCCGATGCGCGGATGCTTCCCGCTCGATCGAGGTATTTTCGTTGCATCGTAGAGAAGTCTGACCCTGACCGAGTACAACCTACTTACACTCGTAATTTGTCGATCACACCAGTTGCATGGAGCGTCGCCGGTCAAGCTAGTAGCAGCGCATCTACTTTCCCTTTAAGCTTGGAAAATTAATCGATAGCACTATTAACATGGAAATTATACTAAAGACGTCGAAAATATATGTTTCGTATAAATCTAGAAATTGATTGCACGCTTCAGATCTTTTGCAAGAGTTTTTCTTTGCTCAGAAGATCTTTAACTTGAAGAAGTTTATACTTAGAGAACAATAAAAAAGAACATACTTCATTTCTATCGGAAGTTAAATTATGAAAAGGAGCTTAGTGTTTTTCAATTCGTAACGCGCTAATGTGTTCAATTTCTAATCAGACAAAGAATCCTTTCAGATGGTACATGCATATTACGCGCGGGAAAGCCGCAACGATTATGAATCATGTTCAATGAATATGAATCATACTCGTCGGCAGACACTCACAAAGGATCATACGGTTTCTGGTAACGTTGATTAGAAACAAGAAGAAAAAATGAAAAACGAAGGAAGGCAATATTTCTTGGGATTAATTGAGGACACTTTCGAGAACGAGCGAAAAAGGCTATGTCTGGCAGGAATAATGAGTTGACTTCGATTAGCCAAGTAAAGATTCGCTTCCAGGCCTACTAGTTAACAGAACTTTCCTTACTCTATCTTGACCTAATTTCAGAGCTTAGCTTCATCTTCTAATCGATTAAGTAAATGTTTGCTTAAATTTGTTGCGGCGAGCGTTAAAATAACGAGTTATAAACTAACGAGCGGCGTAATCATCGACTACCCGAAGGAAATATAAAATCGACTAAAACCTAGATTATTTAAAGCGAAAAAGGAAAAATTTCTAGCTATAAAATTGCGTGTACGCAATTTCGTCGGATACTATGTACAGAATATTTGACATGCTGCCAAGTCATGGCGGAAATTCTAAAAAGAGGTACTCATAGATCGTTTTTAACTCGATTCTCGTCGGGGATTAAAAATAGATATTCGATATTGGAAGCCCGCTTTATATTTCTTCAAATTGACCTAAACATTCGCGATCCAACGAAACTATCTACAATTCGATAATCCAATGTTTATTTCACTGTCGTAAAACGCTAACGATAACAAGAATCATTTCTTATTCTTTGCTTTGATAATAACGCCGGGAGACTAACGCACGTTGTCCTTTCCCGCGTACTGTCAATGCACTCGCGCGTAAATGAACGGCCTTACGAGACCGATAACCGATAGAAAGAGTAATTTAAGCTTTTCCTCTGCTTTTCCGTCATAAACATTCGACAATGTTGAAAGAAAGTTCGAAATTAGATTACAAAACACTACTATCTAAATAAATTATTAATAAGACTAACGTAATATATAATTGTAGCTGTAATATACCTAAATATAATGTACCTAACGTTGGTATATACTATCAACACGAATGGCTATACTATCAATATGAATCTACGAATTTCTATCCGGCATCAGCAATATCGAAAACGTAGATATTAAATATTATTGATATCCATTTGATGTTTAAATAAAAATATGTATGAAAGTATCGATAACTTTATCAGATGAAACGGATATCGATACCTTAGCGAAGCACAACGGTTTTCCATGTAATATCAGTTCGATATCGACTTCAGAGGAATCGATATGACTATTATACCTGAAACTTCGATCTGCATTTCATATTTCGATATCGACAAAAGATACCGCTGCGAGTATCAATAAACGTATTTTACAGACGCGTTTTTATTACTGTTTTTGGTGAAACATTTTCGATGGCAGAAGAGCGTATCGATAGCAATTTATTTACTGCACAGTAGATGGATGGCAATGGAGTAAGAGGCGTTAAACTCGTGGTGCGGATAAGGGCATAATTTCCGAGTGATGCGCAAGGTGCGCAAGAGGAGTTGCGCACGCGACGGTGTTAATTGGCCTTAAAGCATGACAAAGGTTGTAACGAGCTACGCCGTGCTAGTATGACCAGTAGCAGAGAGCACTCGTGTGTATCGATAGCACGTAATCTAGACGTCACCAATCGCACGGCCAGTTCTCCTGGATGACGGCAAAATTCAGGCAACGCGGTAAACTAGTAGACAAAGAGAAACGGAGAGAGGGTAGACGTAGAGTTGACGGGGGTTAGAATCGGGAGTTACGGAGCATCGCGCATGCGCGCAGAACACTGTATTACCACTGGAAGGATCGAGGACTCGCGGAACACGTATCCCCGCAAACGCTTATTGATTGTGACTCTCGCATCGTGTCTCCCACCTCTGTCTGCGCTTCTTTATCGCTTCTCTCCTTCTTTCTTCGTGCCTTCTCTCTTTTCTACTTGTATCTCTTTCGAGCTTCCGTTTGTTTTACCGTTTCTAGCTTTCCTTGCGGTTTTCCCGTTTCAAACGTGCCTAGTCTTCCTTCTAACTATCAAAACGACGTAGCACGGATACACGGCGTTCATCGTAGCGTCGATTATTTTAATCGAAATCGAATTCGAAGGACAAATTCATTCGTGAGGTTCGTGGAAAACTTGTGTATATTTTACCGCGATGCGTGTATACAAATGTAATTTATGCGTCATGTAATTACCATTTCATTTTCCTTATTTTTCTTCCTACTTTTTGGAATTCAAATTATGCCCGTATTAATGCGCTTCTGCGTCGTTCGTAACTGTGAAACATGTCTATTACGCAGTTAGAATATTTGCCTCGAGACGGTCCTCCGTTATCGTAGTTTAGAAATATTAATAACAAAATGACGATGTGAATCATTTTCGTCGAATTAGGAGCTGCGAGAGCGTCGGTGAGCTCAGCAGCGTCCAAGTACAACTCAATGACTACGCGTAGCGAATACTTAAACGGTTTAGCGCGCGCATCACGCAGAGACTTCGACGCGTTGATATAATGTTACGCATGGACACGCGCATGCAGTACCAGAGCAAGATAGGACTTTGTACCGATACGCGCTTCTTAAACGTAACATTGATTTTGCGACGAATGCGCATCGTTTATTTAAAGGTTACTGCAAAAGGACTTTTAGTCACGACAAGGGCCACATTAACGGAAATTTAAATAAAAATAAATAAGATTTAATCATTTGCACCGATAATTGCTAGCAGTTATTTATCTAGCTAGCATTATTTATAAGAGATGAATTATTTATAAAAAGTTCAAGATACAATTTCCTAAATAAGAAGAAAAGTTCGACCTACACCTACTATTGAAAATTTTCCTAACAACTTAGAAAGCAACTTTCGAAATGTATAACCGAAGCTACGTTGGTCAAGCGAACGAGAAAGTCAACGTTTTCGAGCCGATGAGAAAAAAAAGTATAGCATGCGAGGCGAACGTCACGTCTGTGGCTTGGTAGGGTCAATCCCGAGTTTCAGCGAATTCAGTCGACGTCGTTGAAGCGGTCGAAAGTGCTAAGTTACCAAACGTTCAGCACCCAAGCGCGTTCCCGGTGTGCCGTGTCGTACGGAGGTGTGGGATAAAAGGCTGCAAAGGAGCGATGAAGAGCGAGTCGAGAGGACGATGGTGGGAGGTGGTGTAGCGATTCGGCACGAAGCCGTGAGTCGATCATACGCATGCGCACGAAATATAGACCCGCGTTCCGACAGTCGGACCGCGGCTACGGAGGTGTATGCGCGTTCTATGTGTGTCATGATTATTGCCCATTAAATTATCTTGCACACGTTGAGCGCGTTCTACTCTCACTCGTGATGCACGAGCCTTTGCGACTGTATGTACACTGGCTCACACTGAAAATCCTCTATCACGCTTCAATGTACATCCACGCGTTCCTAACGAACGTAAAGCTGCTATTCTGTTTTTATTGCCACGTAACTAAATGTGCGCATCCAATTATGAAACACTTTTTAGCATAATGAAGCACACTTTAAGCAAACTTATATTTGAAAATTGTATTATTTCACTCGAATTAACGAAGAATTTAATTTATTCGAGTATAAAGAAAAGCTGAAAACTGACATCATTCGAACGCGTCGATCTTTTCCCGTGTATTTTCCTCGACGAAGCCTATGGCGCGGGCGAGTGTACGCGTTAGAAGATACACGAGACGCTTCTATCTAGATACGTCTGTATCGCGTACACTCACGCATTTGTTCCCGGCCAGACTGGGGCTGCTCTCTATCTCTACATATATCCCTCTCTCGCCCGACAACAGCTCCACAGAAGCACGTCAATAACCCGTTGCCGCCTCCGACATGCGGCATATAGTGCATTTATAGCGCGAGCTGTGCGCGCACATGTGCTCGCAACACACTTTAACCGACGCTTTTTTTACGAAACGAGTTTCGGGGCTTTCACCTGTTTCTAACCCCCGAGCCTCATGCACGCGTCACAGACGTACTTCAGCTGGTCCGCGAGCACGGCTGCTGTACACGCAATTTTCTGTCATTTTCAATTCCAACTTCTTTTTCCGAACTAACGCGTCCCTTCGACCGAGATTAACGACGGAACGTAAATATCAGTGTCGGGAAATGTGAAATAACGCGCACGCGTGCAGCTGTGCGTTCGAAACTAATTAGGACAACGCGTAATTAAACGCGAGAATATTTTTCTTCCGCGTAAACGTGAACATTATTAACCGAGGCGTCGTTGCAAAAAAACTTAGAAAATCTAATATTATTTGGTCGGTCCCGAGATTAACGATAAAACTTTTCTTGAAACGTGTGTTTTTATCGAGATAAAAAATAAACGCATGTACTAGTTTATATTTTATACTTTATTCTCAATCTAGTGTTGCATTATGCGCCGACAGTGTCGAGTTACAATCTCACTGTATCGGGGACTATATTTCCTTAGCATTTCTCATCGGTTCTCGAGGAAATTTTTCGACGCTCGAACATCTTCAAAGTAAAAAATACAGTTAGCTGAGTAAACAATAGGCGCTCACATATTTGATTTGTACGAAATGTATCGAAAGTCCAACACGACCACAGTCTCTGTCAACGCGAAACGCGACGTAAAATAAAAAAAATTATTGAACCGTGGTACTTGTACGACGAGAGAGAGGAAAGAGAGAAATACGTAGTTGGAAAGAGCGAGAAAAATAGAGGAACAATGCGCGATGGAAAACGCATTTGAAAGTCGTTCGACCGTGTGTGGACGTGCATACGAAATGCAACGGGCGCGCACACGAGTAAGTTGGTAAAAACGATTTATCGAAAATGATTGTAAATTTCGTGGTTGAAAATGTTACGGGCTTTTCATGGTGCAGGGTGTGATTGGAAATCAAGAGCGAAGTCCGAAAATTCGAAACGAACGGAAATGGGAACCGACGCACGCGGGTTGAACAGTATATTTTTGGAGGACCTTTTAAAAAATTTCACGGCATTTTCGATGCAAACTATATTTAATAGCTGGTATAACGGCCTGCGACCTTTTCGTCATTTTTCGAATCCGTGCAAATAGAAAAGTTTGTGCGATGTTTGTTAAAAGTTTTTGACTATGAACTTTAACCCTTTGCGCTCGAGAGGTGACTCTCAGTCACCATTGTATTTAATACAATAATTTGAAATAAGCATTTTTTAACTGACTATAATATGACACGCGTGATGTATAAACATAGTGAAACAAACAATTATTAGTAAAGAAAGATTAACCTCAAGAGAATTCATTCAACTTTTTGACTGAGTTTTAAAATTGCTGTTTGCAAACAGACAAATTATCTCCGAGTGCAAAGGATTAAATAACATAGACTTTGAGCAGAATGGGTGTTTTTTAATGAAATAAATTTTGTTAAGATCTAATTACAATGCCTCGACAAATAGAGCGGAATAGTATGCGAAGTAGATATAGTAATTACCTGCAACATTATGTTGATGATAATTATAAGTAAGAGGAACAGAGTGTAATGCCCTGGCAGACCATTTTCTGTGTCTAGAGTCCTCGTCGTCGTCGTCGGCTTGTTGGCCATCCTCTCCTAGGAAATGTACCTTTTCGTACCTGTCCAAATACCTGAAACAAAGCGTTTCACTGTCAGATGATGTGTTGCCCGTGTCAGGAAAGATATATGAACTTCGTTATTTCTTGTTATATTCCCATCTCCAATTTCTATCCGTGCGAATATTCGTCCAGTCATCTCTCGTGCATCAAATATTGTTACGCTTAATCCGGGAATCTTACGGAATTATAAATCAAACACTCAGGACAGAAATACATGCGCAAACACATTTTAAAAGACACATGGAAATTACAAGATGGAAACTGCAGATTATAACTTTTACTGCTAAATAGTTTGACCCGTTGTTTCTAAAAACGTGTGGATCCTCGGTACTGTCGGATCATTAGCGATAAATTAACTATATAATTTTCCACGATTCCGCGTTATCGCACAATTCTTGGAGTTCACGATAAATATCGCGAATAACGAATTTCGAGACTTATAAAAGCAATTAACTAATTACCTGCTCGTAAAAAAAAGCGAAGCAGCAGAAACCGGGCAAAGCGAGAAACGAACAATTCGTTATTAAAATGCGAGCTGGATAAACAAAGATATTTTCAGCCAAAAGAGCTGTCTAGGTATACAACTTCGAACACAATCGTCCCATTGTGATCCGACTTTTCGTACGAGACAATTGAACCTAACTAAATATAAATATATACGTATATTCTATTCTCGGTTCTTCTGACGAACGGTAATCGAAGAAAATACAATTGGACTTCCATTAATTTCCTTCTTCGTAGAAAATTTGCTGGCTCGTTTCTTTGTACGAATCAGTTGAAATCGTCCAAAAGATTCGTCTGTAAGGACGCGATCTCTCTCTATCGTTCTCTAGAGATTCCAATCTCAAGTTCTATCTGGTACGTAGCGGGAATCCAGATCTATTGGAAATTCTATGGTTTCTTTAACGTACGTGGCTCAGAATTTTTATCAAGGATCCTTGAACGAGCGGATTTGATGTCACTTTGATGGACGCGCGTTTCACACAATTTATAAGTCGTAATTTTAAAAATGTTTCTACAATCTACGCCTGTCAATTTTTTTAATGCAGTTTCATGATTTTATAAGACAAGGAGATATTTAATATACACAAACAAAATTTTATCTTGAAAGAGAATGAGTTAATTATTATAATCACTGTATTCGTGTAGATATTACCATTACGGATAACTGTTACAACTATAATAAAATTAATCGACAAAACACTTGGTGAAGAGTTCCTAACAGATGTAACACAAGTTTCCGATAGTTCACAGATCACAAAAAAAAATATAATCAATTTCAATGAAAATTTCTAACAGAGCAGGAACGATAATGTACACGAAATTTCACATTAGCAAAGTTTGTCAGACGTCTCGGGGGAGAATTATTTTAATAAATTGCGAAGCTCGACTAGCAGCGAGTACAATGTGCCAGTTCACAAAGACGCGACGTAACTAAAAACACAGGCGGCGACCGCGACAGACGGGTACACAGAGATCGACCAGAACCAACTGAACGTGGAGAGAACGATGAACTCTCGTGCTTGAGCCTCGAACGGGGGTTGCTTGTGGACAAAGAGCGTTGAATAGGGTGAAAATACAGAAACCGTCGTGCGAAACAGGGGAAAAAGTCTTGCGAAACAGTAACTTCACAAATTACTATCTAATAATTACCTTGAAAAGTTATAGCTTTGAATACTCGTTATAGGGTGTTATTGTAACAATGTTGTACGAATTGAGACGATTATTTGAAATTAAGATTTCAATATCTGTCGACTCAAAACTCTAATCCTTACACTCTTCAAATCTTGATATTTCTTAATCTCGACATTCTTAACCTCTTGCACTATTTTGACGAGTCAGACTCGTGACGCACTCGTACCTCGGCGGTGATCAATTTTACTCAAATTTTTAATACTTCAATTTCGAGTTCAAGTGCAATTATAGCATGAGTAGTTAACTATTGAATAATATCGACGTAACATTTCAATTTTTTTTTGTCTATTTTAATATAGTAACTATAATTAGTCAGTTCCGACTGACGCACCCGACAAATAAGTCATAGTGCAAGGGGTTAAATTATTGAACCACAGATTCTACTCTAGATTTCAGTATCTGAGATGAAGTCTCTCTACACAGCTCATGCTTTCTATCCAAATTAAAGTATACAAATTGTTCACCAGATTTACCGAGGATAAAACTACTAACTGGATATGGTCTTAAAGCTGCAATTAAATCATATCATTAACGTTTGCAGAAAGTGATCTTCATTATCCACATGGTCCTCCACATTATGACAGATCTATCTCATTGCAATTTATTACGATTGCAGTTACAATGTAAAAATGATTTTCCACGCTCGGCAATTGGTTATTTAGGTGTTCGATGTTAGCCGAGACACTCTGTATAGGGAGAGAGGATAGGACACAGGGACGTGGGTGGGCGAAAGAAAATGGTGGGGGTAGGTGTAGTGGATCCATTCATGCACCAACGTAGAGTACGGAAGGTGCAGGCGTTGAAGCACCCAGCCAGAGCCTGATTGGCCGTTGCCGGGTGTAGACTGAGCACAGACACTTTGACTACTAGCGTGGCCCGTCGTCGTCGGCGTCGTCGGCGTCGTCGGTGCACAATGTGTGTAGATCGGGAGTAGGAAAGCGTCTACTAAACTCGCTTGCTCTCCGGCGACTGTAGAGTCCGGCACAGTCACGTGTCCCGTCGCTGCATCATCGTACTACCGTCTATGAATGAACTGCACGCGTTTGGGAATCCCCGGGATACAGTGGTCGCGGAAATACAGCGTGCGCGTAAATATCAACGACACGCTATCTACCGAGGTATAACACGCTCGTAAATATCAACGATTTCGACTTGATTTTTTATAGCTTTCGGACACTTACAGAGCAACTCGAACACTTTCTTATAGTTTCTTATAGCTAGTATGTTACTTGTAAGTAAACTTGTAGTTGTAAGTATGCTTGGAAGTAAATATCTACAATTTGTAAATTGACGTACTTTTCAATGACGTGTAGCAGCATTGTAAATACTAATAATTCGTATATATATTCTTCGCCTTAACCCCTTCCCGTGCTTTGACGAGTCTCACTCGTGACGCACTCACAACTCAAATGTGATTAATGTTACTGAAATTTTGAATACTCTTCAACTTGAATTTTAGATCCAACTATAATTTGCGTTGTCAAAGATCCCTGAATATAAAATATTTAGAACATTTTAATTTTCTTTGTTCGTTTTAATGTTATAGTCCCGAATGGTTAGTCTTGACTGACGCACCTCATAAATAAATGGCACGGCAAGGGGTTAATAGAACGCGATCGTAAGAGTTTGGAATGAATTGGTGTAGATGCAGTTGAAGTGCAACAAGTAAATATTGTAAATATTGGCAATTCGTGAACGAGTTTTTGATCGAAATATAGCATGGTTGTAAATTTTAGGGGTTGGTAAAGGAGTACCAGCTGAAGTGTAGCAAGTCGCAAACGTGAAGAGTGTCAAAATTAAAGATGCAGCATATCTACAACGCCGATATATTTTATCTACACCTAATCTTGTTCTGTTGAAATAACAGTTTCCGTCATACTTATAATTGTACCGATGATTCCATACAATTATGAAAGTACGAAATGAGTCCACAAAATCTCAATACTATCGGATTAGCTAATATCGCATTTATGTAACTGTCTGCAAGTTAACGAGATTATATCTTTCTGATTGCTTGAAATTACCCTGCGGGCGATCTATTTCCTCTCGGTAACGAGAGACTGTTAGACGTAAGTTCATGAATATTTACAATTCAGTAGCCTGAATCATTGATAGACCATTGTTATTTTGAAATCCGAAGGTTTCAGATCTATCTGAGTCTATCGAATAATATCGAATCGGCAGAGACGCGGTGGAGTCGGAAATTAAGCGTTTGCGGACATAATCCCCGCATGAATCGTACACAGGATAAAGTCGAGTCGAGCGGTGCAGGAAGAATCGACCGCGGTTGTCCTTGTTTGCAAACGGTGACACGGTGGTAACAAGCTTGCACAGAGCTTACCCGGAGTAAGAGAAAGAGAGAGAGGACAACGACTCAGGAACCACGTGGCTCGTCAGCGAGGCCGGTATGAATGAACGAACGAACGTACGAACGTACTATACGATACGAAAAATGGTGGTGGGGGGTAGAGGTAGCAGTGCCGATACGCGGTGGTGGCCGACACGCGGCAAAACGTCGCTGCTCTCCTACTCTTGCAGACGCTCGCGGACTGCCAGACATAATGGAGCATCGTGGTGCTATGACAATCGCAGGGCTACCGGGAAACTTGCCATCAATCGTTTTTCTCTATTGTCCCTGGCCATTGCACTTCTACTCTCGGTGTAGCCTCGAGGGACACTAACAATTTCACCAAGTATTGATAGGTCAATCTTTCGAGGACATGTTTGAGAAACTCGGATGTTTACTTAGAATCGAAGATCACAATGTAGCAAATCTGTTATATCGCTATAATATTACCACACTTTTGAAAAGACACATGCTGTCTTGTTCTACTGTAATGTAACTGAGTAGATTCAGTGTAGATGACACATGGCGAATACAACGCGTACAAATATAATTGGTAACAGTACCTCTGATAACTCAACGCATCGCAATACACCGCATGACTATCGTAATTCAACGCATAATACAACGCATGGTAATATAACGCGTGGCGAATACAATGCGTATTACGTATAGCACCCGGTAACTTCAACGTGTGGCAATACAAAATATAACGAAGACACCGCTGTGACACACTCGTGAATACAACACAATACGATACTTGGTAACACAACGCTAGTTCCTAAACGCGTGCAGATTTGAATTATCTACGAATCGAAGTTAACAGCAACAGTAAGAAACATAAAAGATGTCAACCCTGAATAACGCAGTATTTAAAAAGAAGATGATCGAGCAAACTTACCTAAGGTAAATTTGTTTAAGACCAACCCCGCTGTTCACGCAACCCTTGGGTAGATGGAATTGTTCGCACAACAACGTCCATTCGTTCCTGCTATTAACCTGAAAACAAGAACGAACTGTTAGTAAAGAGAAACCTAATTAACCTTAACATTTCATCGGAAAGGTAAGTATCATAAAGACTAAAAAAATACGGTGAAATTTTCATGAGACACTGTCGTATACCGATAGTAAGATACAGAGTGTACGAAGTTGCGGAGGTATCGTGACTGCATCGGAACACTTTCTCGATGTCATATCTCACGGATGTTCCGAGAACACGAATCGAGATGCAAGTTTATTTTTCTTTTTCTCCTCGCTTTCACCTGAACCCGCCTTTATCTTCGCGAGACGAAACTCGCTACTTGTATATAATTGGTTACGAACGTTTCGAAGATTAATATTCGACTTACACCCGGAAATCTTGCTTTGTTCCTACGCAACCGTGTATTTTATTTTTTAATCGTTAATTTAACACTAAAACTACCAAACCGGTCAAATGACCGCTCCACAAGTTCCTTATTATAGGGTACACATTTTGTTGAAATACATTCCTTCGAATCAACATTGATTTTCATTAAGATAAAGAATAAATGTGTGCGCTAATTAATGTTTCGTCATTTGATTATTTATTTTTTAACTTCATTTTTAATTTCAAGTTAAGTGCACATTATATGCCGGTAGGATTAGTGTTAAAACTTGTAAAATATCTTTCGAACAAAAACCTCGTAGAGGTTAAACACAACCGGTGTTAAGCGTGACAAGCAAATCTTGAAACCCTCGATAAAATGCTCGAAGTTCGATCGTTCGTTTATGGCTGAGAGTTCCATCGATACGCGAACCACACTCGAAAACGAGTGGTGGTGTGTACCGAATATACAAAAAGCGATCCATCAGAAGCTAACACGAATATGCCGGGAAAGAGAAGAGGGAAAGACATCACGCTTCCACGCGAATTCCTGGTAGTAGATAGAGGATAAAACGTCCCGGCAGGATATAAATTTCTTTGGCGGTGCTGAAAAAATAACCGACGACTCGAGTTACGTGACACGTATACACTCACACGCGTCCCCGTGCATGGAACTAAAAAGAGTAGCAGAAAAAAAAGCGAAGGTAAAGTCTGGTTTATATTGGTTCGGTAAATGGTAGAATAAGTAGTCAACGTCGTTAACCACACACTTAGTCTACCGGTTTTCATTCACGCACTGTCATATTCAGCTTCTTGTTCGATCTAGTAAGCACTAAATTTAAGAATGCACAGAAAAAATCAGAGGTGTTATCTATGCACTGACATTTCACTTATATTTGATAATACCGCAAGATATCTTGTGGTTTAGCGAAGAGTAACTTAATTATTGCAAAATGTAGGCAACTAAAAATTACCCCTTAGATCGCAAAGTAAGTTGCGCACGATTAACTTCGAGATAAGTGACCATACAAGTATCGTTAATTGGGTTTATATCTTAGGACTGCTGAATTCATGATAACATTTAGAAACTTGCATATCATCATCTCATAATTAATCGTCTAGACTCTAGACTCTAGAGTGATCTTCAAGGACGATGTTTTAAGGGTAAAAAATGGCATTCTTTTACGCAACTTAATTTCGATAATTTTACCGTTCGAAGATTAGCAAAGTCCTTCAGTTTTATAACTTCCAGAATAAAGTATCGTAGGCATTCACTGATACGTATTATTTATGTGACCCGTTAATAATTATATTCTTTGAAGTGTGAACGGAGTGAATAAGGGGTTGCAAGTGGTGTCGTGTGTTCATTGAAGAACGCATCATTACTTTTTAGTCAGTCCTTATGTTATCCTTGAACTGTTAACCCCTTGCCGTACTTTGACGAATCTCACTCGTGACGCACTCATAGTTCAAATGTGACAAATCCTGTTAAAATTTGTAGTACTCTTCAACTTCAAATTTACGTCCAACTATAATATATATAGTCAGAGATTGCTAAATATAAAATACTCACAACATTTTAACTTCCTTTATTTGTTTTAATATCATAGCTATGAATAGTTAGTTTTGATTGACGTATTTGGCAAATAAATTATAAGGCAAGGGGTTAAAAACGTGTGTAATTTCCTTCGAATAGTTAATTAAACGTTTAAATATTGTTCCGTTAATAAACGTCCATTCAGTCAAAAGTTTCTACAGTATCTAAATGTTCCTTATGTAACCTAACGCTAACGAAAAATACGATACGCGTACGTTTACCCTACCACTTAAATTTCGAGGTTAAGTTCGCGAAGCAGCATATGTCAGCGATTCGACTACGCTTAAACGGTCCGAACTTCGGTATTAATTACTCGGGAGTAAAAATAAAGCGGGATCGACGGCGCATCGCCACGATATCCGAAATGAAAAAAATATCGTTAAGACAGGGAGAGGTCTCCCCTGTTGCATGGTGCATTTGGTCGTAAACGGAACAGGAGCCCGGAGGGGGAAGGCGAGTCGTGAAATCGACGACGGACGGACATACTGGGTCAGTGCTCTCTGGATCCGCGCCCGTTTTCTTTGCTATTCTCGTCATCGCGACGTTCAACCTTATGAATCGAGAATGTGGCGCCCCACTGTGGACGACCTCGCGACATCATCGGCCCCTCGTCAAAACGATACTCGACGAACGAAACAAGCAATAAATATTCCTAACTGCCGATGAAGGTGAACGCACGAGATGAGTCGAGTTTCTTCGCTGACCAAAGTACATCCCTTCTGTGTACGATTCGAAAAATCGATCGATTTTGTGGCGGATGGGTCAAACCCCGATCACTGCTTTGCTACTCTGTAACTCTTCGAATTTAGAAGTTACAAACTTTCAGATTTTCCAAGCTTTGAGACTCCGCAAATCTTTGGGATCTAGGGAGTTTTGAATCTGTACAGACTTGAAGTTTTGTGAATGATGTTCGTTATACGTGCAGAAAGTTTTTAATATTTCTATGGAAATAAGTCTTTTGGAGGATATTGCGTGATCGGACATTAAGAATTGAAGATCGAACGCGTGATATGAAGTAACCGGCAACGTACTAATAAATAATCCAGAATTTTTCAACAGACCCATCCATGTTATACAGGTGTCACCTGTAATATCTTTCAATTTTTACATACCACTTCTGCTATCTTTCTCTCGTAGCTTATCTTTCGAACTCTTCAAATATTAACTGATAATATAAAATCTATACGGGACGCACATAGTGCGTCATCGATAACGCAATAATTACGCTACGGAAATTATTAAATTTCTCGAACGATATTCAGTAGTATAATTAGTAAGAATCGAAGAAGATTAAAATATGTTTCGAGGAACTACGAATATTTTTAAAACGAAAATATGGAAATTGTAACCGAGACGTCTGGTGCTTTAACGATCTACTTAACTTGCTTAACTAATTTGAAACATCGGGATTAACTTGGATACGAAATCTGGATCGCGATTGTGAAAATTGGCGCGGCATTTAACGCGAGAAAAGCCGAAATTAATAGTATGTCATTATGTAAGGAGCCTTGAATCATTGATAAATGTGACACGAAAATGACCCGCCATTTCCGTATTACTCATACACAAGATTGTAAATTATTTATACAACCGATCAACATTACGATCGTTAAAGTACGTTTTAACTACCGCACATTTTCATTTTTATTATTCTCGCCTTCGGTAGACGGAATACGCGTACCTTTACCCCGCGAAAATAAAGCATTCTATCAAAAATTTCTCGCGTAGGTCGACCATAATTCTTCTCTCGGAATGTGCTTCATTTCCGAGGAACGATCGTTTACGTTCGATTCTTTGGCGCAGCACGGTCGTTATATAAAAATTCCTCGCGTCGGCCAGCTAAATTGCAATTACACGTTACAAGCGCGGTATCATCGAGTGTCCGTGAAACATTATGATACAAGATAAAGTATCTAAAATTATTATGAATTACGCGCACCCCGTGCGGCTTGATTACGTGCTTCGCCTTTGAAATTATAACGCGTGGACGTAACACGCCAACTCTTCGCTCCCAGATTCTCAACCTAATAGAATCATCGATGCTACGAGGAACGATAAATTAAATGGAGTAAGAACAAGGGCACGTTTAAATAGAAGAAAACCGCTGCATTTACCTGATCTTATCGGGCATTCATATTCGTGAACATGGTAATCGTACGTACGTTTTATCTCGCGTAAACATACGAATATGGTAGGGACTCGGTTTATCATGATACGGTGTAATAAACTATAAAACCACGTTAACTTCGATTGTCTCGTTATTCTGCAGCGGACATGTTCAGGAATCCCCTGCATAAAGTGGGCAAAAATCTGTGGAGGTCATTTATTTTGAATAGTATGGATTGTAGTGACGCGTTAGATGAACATTGCAGGGTGATACTTGTTCGATGCAAAGTGTATACTCGACTTTTATTATATTGCCAGGTCTGACGATGTACTATCGTTATTTAGATTTGTAGTACACCCTTCTTGTATTGCCTCTGGCTGTAACACAGAACTAAGGCGAGATGATCATGACATAATGTGTGGCAATACAACGCGAGGTAATATAGCACAAAGAGTAACAATGCACGGTAGTATAACAGGTGGTGAACGCGACGTATGTCGAATGCAACGCGTAGCGGCACAGTGCGTGGCAATATAACCCGAGGCGACACAAAGTTGCGAACGTGGCAATATGCAATAACGTAATATGTGATAGTACATTATGTCATACGCGTGTTAAAATATAATAGTACACGTAACTCGTTAAATGTTCGCCGATATCTACGAGCGCCGTAAACCGTTTAAGCTACGTGAAAAATGACGTAAAGGTTCGTGTGAGGTCCACGATTAATTCAATAACGCCTTCAGATGTAATTGATAAAAAATGTTTTGTCGTAAGAGAGTCCGTAGCAGATTAATAGGCACGCAGAACATAGTGGCGCCGATTAGGTAGCCACGGTACACGCGGGTTCCCTGTCTGGCGTGTAATCGTACGACTTTGCTTGACCTTGGTAGTATGAATTACACAGCGCGCATGCGCGGGGACGTTCTTCGAGAGCGTCGAACGTATCC